TCACACTAACGCATCAAACCAATAGTTTTCACATAATATAAAATCTTTCATTTTTGTGATATAAATTTGTGATATAATAGGAGATTTTCAAGGTCAATTGATATAACTTTTAATGTTGCATTTTTAAATTGGCATTCAATGTTTGGTCGTTTCAAATTAATAAAATCTATACTGATTTTTTAAAATGTTAAAAATATTATTTCTAAACATCTAATTATATACAGAATAATAATAAACATATTTACTCATTCTGTTTGTGTTCTTATAATTAATATATTCATATAACAAATTTCAGCATTAAAATAGATTCTTAATTTAGCTTTAGTTATATATAATTAACAAACTAATAAATAATAAAAGGCTCATCCAATTGTCAACAACATTTTTCCATGATGTATCATATTAAATCAGATCAACTTTTTTCCGTGTGGACGTATCGTTCCGCAGTTTTGAAATTCGTCACGTTTGAAAAAATGCTTCCGATTTTTTTTTTTACGAACCAGTAAAATCTCAAATGATCTAATTATTTATCTGCTCATCCTGTTTTGTTTGTGTTGCTTATAATTAAATAGCTATATCATTGAATGATAGAGAAATACTCATTTCACGTTAGAAAAAATATATATAATAAATTTCAGCATTAAAATAAATTATTAATTTACCTTTACCTTTAAAGTTGGTCGCCCAATTTATATAGTTAATATTAACAAACTATAATAACAAAAAACTCCTCCAATAAAATAGTAAATGGAAACAAATTTTGGTTTTAAAAAAAAATCTTTCTAGTACTTTTTTTATTGTAATTAGATCCTCCCTCACAACTTACATAGGATTAGAAAACTTATAATAGGGTCAAATTATTTATAAATTACAAATACAAATTTAACAATCACTAATAAGGTCAATTTTAATGTTAGGGACAAATTGTTATACACATCAAAAAGGTTGGTTAGGTTTAATAGGGTCAAATCTATTAGTATTCGACGATTTATTAGGAACCAAAAATTTTGTGTATATACCAAATTTTAAAACAAAACCAATACTTTATCTTTTAGAAATCTATAATTAAAATTTTGGGGTGGGGTGTTTGGATATGAAATTTTGATTGCTAATTTGAATTTCACGTACGTGAATTACAAATTCACAAATTTTATTACAATATTAAAAAAAAATTATAAATTATAAAAATTAATGAATTATTATCAGTTAATCAATTGATTGGTAAAATTTATTTTTGTTACAGTAGACAGTTTCAAAATTTTTAATGTTAGTATATATTATGGGTCAAATTATGTTCTTTTTTCTAATGTTATTGCAAAACTTAGGGTCAAAGTTATATATTAAACTTAATTTTGGTCTGGTTCAAATCATATAACAAACAGAAATTTTTGTTACTGACCTATCTATGAAGTTTGCGGGGTCCTGTTTTGAAGTTAAACGATTTCACTTTTTTTTTTTTCCAAGTTGAAGTTTATACAAACAATTAAATAAAAAAATAAAACTACTGCCCCTGCTACTATTAATCCAAAAAAAAAAATTGGAATGCATAAGTTGCACGATTTTATTATCAAAAATGAAATTTGGTTCAAAACATTCTTTCCTATTTAATAAAAAGATATTCTAAATACGTGATTATAAAATTCGGTTCTGAAAAATATCGGCATATTTTATTCATTTATTATTCATTTATTCGTTTTATCCAGCGATTCGTTCTATATATTCGAATTATTCGTTTTATTCACCGATTCGTTTGTTCGAATTGTTTATTTATTTGTTTATTCGTCGTTTTATTCCTTTATTAGTCGAACGATTTGTCACACTAAACGATTTTTTCCGAAATTTTTTGGTGATCAAGCGTCGAAATTCTATTAATAAAACAAGATTTTAGCAGAGAATGCGCAGTGAGCTTTTTTGAACTTTATTAATAATATTTGTGTAATACAAAAAAAATCTGAGATCCTCATATTTAATATATATATTAATTAATTAATTGGTCAAGACCTCTTTGGTTTACATTTTTCAATCTTGCATACTCCTGAATTACAGACTGATCAGTTTTTATATTAGAAAAGCCAAAATCTAAGATTCTAAGTGAATCCCAAGAAGTGACTCTGCTCATGGCTACATATACTTGACCAGGTGCGAACATATTTTCATCGATGCTGACAGTTGCATGAGGTAATGTTAATCCCTGGGTTTTGTGCAAAGGCATTTTGCAGAGGAAATTGTTGTCTTGATGCAAGGCTTCCGTTGATATCAAAGTGTATAACAATCAATTCGATTGTTGATTAAATTAAATGCTAATTAAAAATTGTCAAAATTAAATTTCTTTCTTTACGTTAAAGGTAATTTGTTAAAGGTAATTTTTTATGTTTATTTAGAAAGAGTTAGTTCATTTAGTTGTATCATAGCAAGTATGATTATTTTGAGTGTAATAAGCCATATCCAAGTTAGATAATGCTCACATGAAATTGTGTTTAATTTTTTTGGTGTAATAAAGTTAAAACTTTAATTTCGTAAGCAATTGATTGGTTCAGGTTGTTAATTCAAATTTTTTAGCGAAGCAATAAAAACACATTTTAATTCTCAAATGAATTGGACTTTTTTTATTAAAATTAAAATTCATAAATAATTCATGAATAATTTCCTTCCGTATATGTAAATAATTATTTGCGCAACAAATCTAATCATTAATTAAATAAAAATAAATAACGTTAAATTCTATGTTGGTGTTACGAAAAAATATGAGGACGGCCATCCCATTTATATGTTTCGAATTTAATGAAATTGAATATTGTTTTGACCTAAGTGATATGATTTTTTTACTCTTTAAGATAAAGAAGGTGCAATCCAAATCAAACTTAACTTTAATAGATTTTGGTTCTTGCATAGCGCAGCATGTACAATAATAATAATAAAAAAGAAAAAGCTCCATGTTGCATTTTCAGTTGTAAACTTGTTAATTAAAAACATATTAGTTAATAGTGATCTTTATCACATTAACTAAAACCAAATCTCTTTCTGTTCACTTGGAAAAAAAGATTTTATTATTTTGCATGATAAATGGTAAAAAACTATTATCACGTGGACAAGGCATTCAAATTTCAATTTCAACATAGATCATCAAATGTATCGATATCAATTTCAGAAAAATAAAAAAAATTTTTTTGAAATTTATTACCCAACAAAAACAAAAAATTCCTTCCCAAAAAATTAAGTTTGAAAAACAGTGATTTTTCGCTAGCCGTCACTATCTTGCTGAGCTCTGCAGAGAGAAAGAAGAAATTGCTTATAACTATTAAAAAAATGTGTTGAAAATTGTAGAACCTCAGATTTTCCAAAAAGAGGTTTTTTTCTAAAAAAAAGAATCAAATCAGAGAATGATTATCGCTTCTAAAACTCTTTAAACAAAAAAGGACAACGAAGCGTAGTACCAATGCCAACTAATTTCTTTTTTGTGCTAAAACTAAAATAAAAATTAGCCACAAACCTTAATTTTTTGCTCAGCAATCTCCACCAAATTTGAGACAGATTTTTCAGTTGATGTTAAAGTTTATCAACCAAATTACCGTATTTGGAAATTAATTATCCCACATTTTTTCCTTTTTGTGTAAATTTATCAAAATTTATTATGTTTTTTGAGTTTTTTTGCCATTTTCACCAAACTTTAATAAACAACAATCTACATAAAGCCATACTACTCACCAAGTTTATAAAGGTAATATTGGTAAAAAATCTTGGCTTTGAAGTAATAAGTAATGCTGTTTTTAAATAAATATAGCTTGACATAGAGAGCCTCTATCAATATGCGAAAGGGCTCGTTAGAAAGCTATAATGTTATATTTTATTTTTGATTGATAATGATGTTTGAGTTTGTTATAAAAATAATGAGATATTTTAAAAAACCGATTGGTTACACGAATCAGGTTTTATATTTTATATATGTAATTACATTTCCTGTGACATATCGTTTGACTGTTATTCGAGTAAAAATTTATTTGAATAATAATAATAATAATAATAATAAAGTTTAAATGCGATAAATGATTGAGTCATATGATTTTATGATCTCGTGACACCAAAGAGTATCATTGCTATTTTGGGATTGAATATTTGGCAGTGTGACGCAGCATTTGATGTCTTTTTAGATGGCGCACATTATATATTAGGGTGTTCAAAGCAGGGACGATGAATTTCTGCGGTGAAAAAAAGCAAAATCTGCGATGGCATACCAATAATATGCTCATTTCAAGTTTTGCCTATTTTATTGCAATTCTGCTTAATCCTGCTATAGAATCTTAACGAGAATAGCTAAAAACAGTCAATAAAAAAATAATTCTTATTTGAGTTGCTAATAGAAAAAACAATAAATTTATCACTATTGCTCGTGGCCATAGTTGAACTCTGGTCAGCGATATAATCATTATTATTGCTTGATTATGCCCGGTTGGATTGTTTCCTCGTTCGATTATTAAAGTGATTGCGCAACCCACTCCCAGGAAGCACAAGATAGAATTGGTCAATTTTCGGCAATAAAAAATGGTAATTTTCTCAATCAACCTTGTACCCTCGTTTAGTGTTGCATGTCTAGTAGTAATTTCACTATATGATTTTTGGCGAGGGCTCATAAATTTGTGGAAATCAGTTTTGACAACATGTTTTTGGGGCCATCGGTTTCTTTTTAGCCGGTATATATAACGATAAATATTTTTTATTAATAATTTACTATTGTATGGCACAAGCGCATTTTGTAAAGATTGAGTTTCGAGCTTGGAAAATCAACAGGATTTTCAAGTTTTATATACATATTAACTGATTACAAAGATTGTCGTCTGTTGGAGATGTTTTTTTAATTGTCTATTTCTTGATCCGTAAAATTGGTGTAACTTACAAATGCATATTGTAAATACCAAATACCAAAATATAAGTATTGGTATTAACCGCAAATCTTTTATTAGTTCCTTAGATCCTTTTATAAATATTTATTTATTTATTTCAAAATGACTGAAATTCCTAGTAATATTAATAATGTTAACAATGCCAGTAATGCTAGTAATGGAGGTTGAAAAATTTTTTTAGATGTTAAATCGCAGGATATTTTAAATCAAAAGTTTTAACATAACATATGTAAATGTAACGTATATGCACCTGTATAAATTTATAGATGTTGATGAGGTTGTAGAAAAATTGTCTGAATTAGATACTAAAGAAGGTCTGTAAATAAAATTTTTGTAATTGTTCATGATCTATTTATTGTGCTGCTGATCTATTGATAAATTTACTCACTCACACACACACATATAGTTAAACACAATACATTACAAGAATCAAATCATGAAGTTGAAGTTAAACGTGTTGATGAGGATGAACCTTTAATGTCTGTGACAACATTTGAACAATTAAATATGTAAGTTGTATTAAAAGAAGGATGAAGAAAAAAAGAATTAGTACAACTCATTGATGTTATTTGTTTCTCATGATTTCATTATTCCATCATTTTACAGAAATGGGGATTTATTAAAAGGTGTATATGAAATGGGATTCTCAATTCCATCTAAAATCCAAGCAAAAGCTCTGCCGTTACTTCTCAAGAATCCGTGAGTATATCGCTATCATTATTATCATTTTAAAAAAAAAATATATTAATTAATATTGTATTAATTAGAGATTTTTTTTATATAGACCACAAAATATGATTGGTCAATCGCAATCTGGTACCGGTAAAACTGCAGCTTTTGTTTTAACAATGCTCAGTAGAATAGATTTAGATTTAAAACAGCCACAAGTAAATATTTCATTCTAAAAAAATATATTGGCGAATTATTGAGTCGATTGATTGGTTGATTTAAATATACATTTTTCTTTTGAAAAAAAAGGCACTTTGTTTAACACCATCAAGAGAATTAGCTCGTCAAATCATGACTGAAGTTAAAAAAATGGGTAAATATACGTCAGTGGTGACTGGTGAAGCTATTCGAGAATCTCATCCTAAAGGATCCAGGTCGAGGCAAGATGAATTTCATGGTGTTCAGTTGATAGTTGGTACACCTGGCACAGTCTTTGATTTACTGAAGAAACATTCGATAGAAAGAAAATATTTTAAAATATTTGTGTTGGATGAGGCTGACAATATGTTGGATCAACAAGGTTTAGGAGATCAAAGTATAAGGATAAAAAAGTATGTATACGCGCTATATATATATATATATATTGTGATATAAAATCATTATTAATAATAAAATAATATATTTGTTTTTTTTGGGATTGAACAGTTTGATGCCAAAAAGTTGTCAGATTGTACTTTTTTCCGCTACATATTCCAATCCAGTACGTAGTTTTGCTAACAGATTTGCACCAAATGCAAATCAATTCAACCTAAAAGTCGAGGAATTATCGGTTAAAACAATCAAACAATTTTATATGGATTGTAAAGATGAAGAACATAAATTTTCAGTATTGGATGAATTATATAGCTTATTAACAATTAGTCAGAGTATAATTTTTGTTCAAGTATAGATTTTTTTGTTTTTTACTTTATTTATTAATTATATATCAGAGTTTTTTTTAAAGAAAACAATATATTCAAAATTGTAACTTGGCATATCTTTAATTTAAAAACAGAAACGTGAAACTGCAGATAGAATAGCAAGGTTGATGACAGAAAGAAATCGTAGAGTTATTAATCTTCACGGTGGTCTATCGACCAACGAAAGGGATCAGGTAATGGATGGTTTCCGATCGGGCAGTGCCAAAGTACTGATTACCACGAATGTTCTATCGCGTGGGATAGATGTGTTGCAAGTGAACTTGGTGGTTAATTATGATATACCAGTCGACCCCAGTGGTAGGAATCCCGATTTTGAAACCTATTTGCATCGCATTGGACGTACTGGTAGATTTGGTAGATCTGGTGTCTCTATTAATTTTGTACATGATGCTACAAGTTGGGATTTGATTAAAAAAATTGAATCACATTTCCAACGTGAAATTGTAAAGCTTCCAACAGATAATTGGCCTGAAGTTGAAGAAATTGTAAAGAAATATGTTACTTAATTATTATTTAATTTCCTCATTTATATTTAATAACAGCATATTATTATTTATTATTTATTATTTATTATATATGAAATAATAGCAAATTACCCGTTGTTATGAAGTAGTAATAGTAGATTATGATAATAATAACAATTATTTATTTATGTAATAGTTGTTGTTGTTATTATAATCAATACAAAAAAATATTAAAATGTCGTCTTTCTCTCATTTGAAATTTTAAAAATCATTTCGAGCGCGCACACAAAAATCCGATATAACTAATTTTATTTTAATCGCAACTATCATCGTCCCCTTTAAATCGAGAAATTTTTTTTGAATCTCGTTATATCGTAAAATTACAAAAAGTCCACGTGTGTATACCCGAAGCTGTACTTAATACATCTTTATCCCTTTTAAAGTAAAAAATGGACAGGCAACAAGCCTTTCAACGTCATTACCCAGTAGTAAATTCAAAACCACTACTGTGCAATTCTATTATTAGTAAAATGTAAATGCTTGCTTATAAATTACTCATTCTTTACAAAAAAATTAAAAAAAATGTAGTTTAATTTTTTTTTATATATAATTAATAATAATTTTTTACATAAAAAATAGTAATTATTTTTTCCTTTGAATTAAAAACAACAAACTTAAAATAGTTGCATGATATATTAATTTCTCTTTTTTTTTCTAGCATAGATAAAGAAAGAAATTTACAAGATTTTAAAGGGGGGGGGGGGGGGTTTTTAAGAGTCATAGGATTCTTTTAAAACAGTATTTACAATATTTAAAAATCTTGGCTGAATTTCTATTGAAACTTTTGTAGAATTTTCTTGCGAAGAAGAAGAAGTTGTTGTTGTTGTTGGTAAAAGAATGGAAACCAAATAATCCCGAATTTTATCTGCTACTACTACACCGCCATTGCCAACATTAGAAAAAGATGATGTTGATGATGTAGTAACAGCAAAAGCAAATTCAGGGTTTGGTGTTATTGCTATTAATCCTTCCAACATCTCCAATTTACTTTTTTCGTCAAGTTCAGCCAAAGTTTTCATTGAGATAGAAAATACCGGTAATGGAAGTTGAGATAATGACTTTATGGTAATTTCTTTAATAATATCATCCAATGCTTGTTCTGCTGTTAAAAATCCACCAGCATTCTTTTCCAACCTTGATTTAATTCTTGATTCTAACCATTTATTTAAAACGTCTGATATTTTAAAGGATTTGTTCTTTTTCGGCATATTTGTGTATGTGAGAGAATTTTGATGTTGTGTTTTAAAAATCGTACAAATACTGAAACAGTTTTTCAATATATTAATGAGCAAAAAAAAGTGATAATCGATTTAAAATTTGTCACCACCACGTATTTGTGAAAATTTGTAACATGTAAATGTAAATGATTAAATTCCCATTTACCGATACATTGATTGGTAAATATTTAACGAATATGTATTATCATAAAAAAAATTAATTTTATAATTAATTATTTTGGAATAAAAATATTATATTATGCATAAAGTTAAAAAAAGCCGTTGTTTCATTATCACAACGACTTTTTTTTGTTTAACGGTTAGAACACATCACATTATAGTAATCATTTTTTTATAATATATATCCTCTTTCTATATAGCGAACCTTTAATAACTCTTTTTATAGCAAATAAAGGCACAAAAATACACATAGAACGGATGGTTTGCTATGAAGAGAATGTGGGCTATGTAATATACTGCTTTCTCAGAACAATACTTACAAAATGATTAATAAAGTGATGAATGATTAAGAATGGACGAATTAGTAAATGCATAAGAAACTTCATCTACGTTAGCCGGCCATGTGTAAAAATAAAACTCTGGTTAGAAACCACTGTGATCAAATATACAATTTTTATTTTTTATATCATCCTAAGTGGTAAATATGATTGATTTGATGGTCTGAACGGATACGATAAGCTTTTGTTGATTTTGACAGTAGGGATTGGTAGCATTCCTTAGGCATATTTGTTTATAGCCTCCGGTCATATTCCAATCATAAATAGTAAAAAAGATTATGTATTTTATTTATTTATTTGACGGCTTTAATTAATGACCTCTATAGTAATAGCCCTTTTTTTTTTGCTTTAACAGCTATCTAGCGTTCCATATTAATTTTACGCAAATCATAAAAAACGACATCATTATTATGCAAACTAAAATCGTTTTGTTGAACGTAAGTTTAAACATATAATTAAAATATGAAGAAATGCGGATATACTTGTTCAGAGATCTCCACAAATGCAAATATCACGTGAATGAATCTTGAGGCTTGCTTTGTCCTTTAACATCTTTTGAATAGCACCGATATACGTCATTACTATAAACAGGACCAGGTTATTAAATTCTAAAATGTAACATTTTTTTCTCTTTACCCATTTTAGCATATAATAATAACATCTCAACTTCACATGTAAACCATTGAAAAAATTTATTAATATTACTAATACCAAGATAAAATCGTGAAAATAAATTTTTAGTATTAGTAATAAGCAGGAAAGGACACAAAACTTTCTACGCCAATTACAATTTAACCCTCCCTTCCTTGCTTATAAAATTTTTTGCTTTACTCATAATTCATATGACATAAAAATTGCTTTACCTAATTTTGGATATGATTTGTAATAAAAATTTTCTACTATACCCAAATAGTCACATCACTTGTTTAAAAAAGTCTTGCCCAATTTTCATGTAACTAGCAAAAAAAAAACACTATCAAATAATAATCCGGAGTTCTCTATTGACGCACAATCTAACTTCGATCATTAAACAGTCCACGTTCTTAAATCAAATTTTTTAATAATAATAATAATAAATGACAACTATGACAACTGAAATAGAAAGTCATGACAAAAAAAGATCGGGCATTTTGTATATTGGCTTGGGGGACCAATTGTCCTTGTAAATATTAAAATAAGTCATTATCGTTGAATAAATTTATTTTTATTTTTATATTTGTTTTACAACAGTTTTAGCATCTGGCTTTGGATATGCATTTTTAACTAATTCTTTAAGTACGGGATCACTCTCCCATTTCTTTCTAATAAGTTCCAATATTGCATTAATATTGTAATTGATGTTTTTTAAATCTCCAGGATGGACGAAATCATTTTCTCAAAGATTGATAATCTGCATAATTAACATCTCCACCATATTTTTCTGGTCTTTTGATTGCAAATCGTGGTGTTTGGAAGTTGAGCGAATATAATGGAAATAAAACAGATTTTACAAATGATAAAGGTCCATTCTCTACAATATTGCCTTCTTCACAAAATGCTTGCTTTATTTTACGAGTAATAGTACGTAATTCATCAGTAAATCAATTTTGGAACCTGGATCTGACGATGACATTTTGGATCCTGCCAAGCCAGGAACAATTTGATTCATCAAGTATATTCTTTTTTATATCCAAGATGCAAGCAAATGTCTTTCAGCAAAAACAAATATTTTTCTCTGATCAACACCTCCAAATTGTGCATCAACCTCTAAATATTCTTCATCTAATGCTTGCAATCCTGGGATAAAGTAAACCTATAACAAGCCGATTCTACTTGTTTAACTACTTCTGCGCCCGCTTTTCTTGCATCGTGTTCTGTAACTAATGCACAAAGTTTATAATTATCCATGCTGTATTTGGCTGTAAATTGATAACTACAATTTCAATTTTTCAATTGGTACTCCAAAAGTAGTTTTAATAAGCACCTTATAATATTTTGTTCGAAAATTTACGAGCTCTAATGGTGCTTTCATATTATATCAAGAAAAGCATGAATATCAGCTAATAATATAATTAAAATTCTAATTTTTTTTTAATCCTCTTTTATTAAAAAGAATACACCAAACCTCAACACCAGCTGTTTAAAAATCAGCAATTTTTGACATTGGCACAAAGTATCCAATGTGCGGTTTACCAGTCGGGTGCTGTACTCCAGTAAAGTTTTAAATCTCTTTCCTTGAGAATTTTTAAAATTTCCTCTCCACCCATAACTTCTTTAGATTTCTTGTAATTAATTAGTATTTTTCCTCGGGTGTAAACTTTTTTACTCTTGCTATTATTGCTTATGTTGCTTTTGTTGCTGGTTCTGTGTTGTAGTAGTTGATGGCGTTGACATTGTTTATAAAAATTTATTGTTTTGAAGAAAAATTTTTTTATTTATATTAATTAGTATGGTAGCTTCTAAAAAATTCAAATGACTACATAATAGATAGTCATTTTCAGCTAGTACTGACAAAGTGAACATGTCACATAATTGACATTGCAAAATTTATCAGTTTTTTTTTTTTTATTTTTGGAAAAATTGAAACCAATAATAATGCTTATCCAAAAAAAGAATTTTTTTGTTTTGGGATTTTGGTCTTTAATTTAGGCGCCAACCAAAAAAATATCATTTGATAATTAGACTTCTATAATTCAATCAATATTATTATCTTCTTGAGCTGGATGTATTTGCCCACTTAATATTGCATTTCTATGATTGATTCTACATTGGATTCTGGGTTACAATGTTTACCAAGAAATTATAAATATATTGAGTCAAAAAAATTTTTTTTTTTGTCATTTTCGAGATAATGATATAATAATATATAATTTGTGTCAGTGAATCTTTTTATCTTAGAAATATACCCATACTTACTTAATAAAATTTCGAGATATGTCAAGAAAACTGTTTGCATAACATATTGAACTTAAAAAGATCTGCAACTTTAAGGGGGTTTTTCTTAAAATCGTGATTTTCAAAATTGACTCATTTTCGCTTGAGACTCCCCATATGTGAAATTCAAATTAGCCAATCAGAATTTCACCCCACTCCATAATATTTCAACTTCACATACAACAACCCCACAGATTTCATAAAGAAGTTACTGCCGCATCTGGATTAAATTTATAAATCAAGTTTTTTGTCAATAATTATAATAGGGTCAATTTTAAACATTAATAGGGCCAATCTGTGGGTCAAATTATTATATACATCAAAAAGTTTGGTTAGGTTTAGTATGGTCCAATCTATCATTACATAGTAGTAGTTAATGATTATATTTTATATTAAAAAAATTTGTTAAAATATTTAAATTATAAAAATTAGTGAATTATTATAATCAGTTGACCAGTTAAATCAATTGATTGGTCTTTTAATGTTATGGGTCAAATTATGTTCTTTTTTCTAATATTATTGCAAACCTTAGGTCAAGTTACATATTAAACTTAATATTGTTCTGGATCCAATCATATAACAAACTGGGGTTTTTGTTACTGACCTATCTATGAAGTTTGCAGGATCCTGTCAGTACATTTCCTAATCATTTTTCATCTATTCATACGTTGTTGAGATTTCTTTTCTCTTTAGATTCCGATGGCTCTTTGGATTTTTGGGTTCTCTTGATTTTATTTTTATTGTCTTGACGTCTCTGCTAATTTCTCTCTTTAATCCTTTGGATAAACGCAGCCCTGTTTCTTATTATTTTTGTATAATCACATTGGTTAATAATGTCATATGTCAAAATTTTCATCCAACAAAAATTTTACTGAAAATGTTGATTTTTTTAATGTGGTGGTTATATACAACAAAAAAGTTTTTTTGATTATTTATGCAATTGAAAAAAAAAGAAAGAAATTTTTCTCTAACAAAACCAATTGATAAAATATCAAATATAAATTTAAAAATGGAAATCGCATTATTTAAAGAACAACTTCATCATCACTAAACCTTAATAGTGATTGTTTTGACAACAAAAGAATTTTAGCATTCTTTGGTTTTCTATTTTTGGCACTTAAAATTTACAAAAACCTGTTTAGTGCATTGTAAAAGTTGTTCTACTTATCAATATTGTGTATTTCCAAACTCAGGTACTAAATACAATTTAAAGCGCTTTAAAAGATTTTTTTATGAAATGTAAAAGAAGAAATATTAATAACAGTTGTGTAGTGATAAGAAAAGAAATATTAGTAGAAATAAAATATAGTGTGGGTCGAACAACTTTAAAGCTAATACTAAGCCTATCTAAAAAATAAAGACGATATTTGATGGTTTTTGACTAGTTCTACAATCCATCGTCGAGATAATTTTATACATTATGTATAGAATTTTCCAAATTCAAGTTATTTTAAACTTCTAAAAGCTAATAATGCTAGATCTCGACAATGGATTGTAGAACTAGTCAATAACTATCCCTATTTGGGGTTTTAAAGTTATTGATAGGTTATATAATGACACGCACTACACAAATTAATTATGAAATTTATTCGATGGCACAAGTATTAATATTAATATAATAAACCAATTCATTTCTGCGAAACAAAAAAAAATTACAAATTTCAACTATGAAAAATGAAATCTCATGTGAATTTGCAAAACAAACTGTTGTATGGAAACACTTGATAATATTTTATTAAAAACATAATTTTTTTGGGAAGCATAATAAAAAATGATTTTGTTGTCCTATGAAAATCATTGTATAGAAGTAAGCATCCAATAATTGAATCTTGAATCTTGTATTTGCGAAGTCCATAATAATATAGAATTTTAGTCATTATTAGTTTCACAGTTTCACTGATCAGAATCTTTGTGTAATAAAAAAAAGAAACAGTTCTATCTATTTACGTGTTTTATAAACAACAAGTTTTTTTTTGCTATAGATATTGGCAATTCTTATCGTGTACACTATAGAAAGCACAACATAAATATTAATATTCTAATTTCCCACATTAAAAAAAAATTTTTATAAACTTAAAAATTTATTTTATGGTTGTGTACAAATCTATTGTTTAATAAATAAAGATTTGATTATTAGAGATGCTAATGTTATGTAAATATTGATGAAAAGATATCAAAAAAGAAAATGATTTACCATCAGTTAGTTCCCTTCTCTTTTACAAAATATTCAACTCTTCATACCAATGTACCATCACTTGTCTTCATTAATGTTTAAATTGATTTGTTTAAATTTTTTGTTTCTTGAGTCAAGCAAGGGTCCACTTTCATTATCAATTATACACAAAATACCATTGAAAAATATCATTTTAGTAATTTACAGTTCACGCGAAATTCAAAATTAGCCAATCAGAATTTCACACCACCCCAAAAATTTAAATTGTCCCCTTGGCCATTGAAATTAAAAGGTTTCTCATAATAGCTGAAATTATATCCAAAATTATCCAAACTCTTTAATCGAATGACATGGTTGATTATTCATATAAAGAATATTGGAAAAGCCAAATAATTATCTTTTTCCAAAAACGACTTCAGTTAACAACTATATTTAGTATCTAGTACACTATCCTCTTTATCTACCAAGTAAATTCTGTATACCCTCGGTTATTTTGATTTGCATTATTATTGTTGTTATTGGCATCCTTTTGATTCTATAGTAATAGTAAATTTTTTAAATCTTGTGTATTTATTTATAGTAATATGTTACATTAACCAATTACTTAATAACTTTATCCGACCACTCTAAAACTTCTAATTAGAGAAAACATTAAATGTGTCTTTTTCTACTCTTATTTTATGGAGTAATAGCTCCTATAAATTGGTTATACATATGTTTTTTAATATGTAAAGAAAACACAATACTTGTATATTGTAATTAATTTTTTATTATTATGCAAACAGGGTCTAATACTGTCACCAATTGTAGTTTATAAGTTTATAGACTAATATCACATAAAAAACGCAAATTTAGTCAAGGGGACTTAGATATCAAATCATTCTTCTAGTTAGAATATAATAATAGTGTTTCGCTGAAATAAGAGAACTAACCTTTAAAAATATATAAATATCTTTCACTTTGATTTTTTTTCTTCATGTATATGTATACGTATATAATATATATATATAATCAAGTAAATATAAGACAATTTGAAATAAAGGACTTGCCTTCATATTAATTCTATGTAAATATTTCCTTTATTTTTTTTTATTTTTTTTTTGTTTAAGATAAGGTTGTGGGTGAAACTCCTCCAACAACAGTTCCAACAGGTTACACATTAATTGTTTATTAGAGTTTCGCATTTGGGGGTTTTGTCAATCGTCAGAGTTTAGACAAGGCAGATACTAACTGTTCATTAAAGTTTCGACAGAGTTTCGACAGTCACTAAGGGGTTTCTTAGTTTAAGAGGCATCGTTCACTAAGGAGTGGCTATACAGATTATAGATAGTTTAGAAAGAAAAACATTAATATATTATTAGAAAACTTTTCATATGTAACTTGGACACGATCACACAGTACGTAAATGGGATATTTTTCTATCAAAAAATTGCAAGTCACAGCTACAAAGATCGCACTCGAGGCTCGCAAATAATTCACAGATATTTATTAATTGCAATATTTTATTTGAATGGTTCTTGAAGAGCCTTTTTTTTCTATGTCAGATGGAACTACCTATTATTGTAGTTGTTAAGCAATTTTGAACCTGAAATTATTTTGTAACATATTTTTCTTTTTCCAAGTAGCACACCTTTTCTCGATTTCTACCGTCTTTTCAACTATTTCGAATTTATTTTATTTATGATTGTACTAAGATTGAACACACACAATGTTTCCTTATAAACTTTACCTGTTATATCATTGAAACCTTTTAAAACATTACTTTTTCAAATTCCAATTGAGTTCATCTTTTAGATTTTTTTATTCCACATTTGTCAAGATAATCAATCCGACAAAACTTCTTTCAGTGGAATTATTTGAGTCATTGTAACGAATGAGAGAATCAGAAGTTTAATTAAGATGGTTGAGTTTATTCTTTATTTGCTCTCATCATGTGTAACTAGTACAACTATTTGCCAAAAGTAACTATCATAATAATAAACTTAATTCGTATTGCATAAATTACAAATTCTACACTCGAAAAGAAAGAAAAAAAAGTAAAATGCGATTAAGATCTTATCTAACCTTTTTTGGTATCACAAAACCCGAATTGTTTATTTTGGCTTGTATCAGTGTGTAAAATTGGGAGGGCGCAAAGGGCGTGTATAACATCTAAATTTATACTGGTTACATAACTAAATTCACTCACTGTGCATCATGCGTTAAAACGTAGATTAACCATTTGGAATCTCAATCGCAAATTAGTACAAATTTAGAAACTATTACTATCTGCAGAATATAACGTAATACGCGGACCTTCCGGGAATTGAATTTTTACACTCTGTTTTCGCTATATATAAAGTTGTTTTCTGCTCTTTCAGAATTTGTTTTTTCAATCGTTTGATTTCAATTTAATAAATAACAACCTAATAACAATCTAACGATCCAACAATATAATAATCTATTTTTCCACTTTTAATATTATTTTATTCACTATGTCAAGATTTTTTAAGGTCAGCACATTTCCTCATCATTTTTCATCTATTCATTCATACCATACGTTGTTATATTAAACTTTCTTTTTTCTCTTTAGATTCCAATGGGTCTCAAACTTTTCTTGGTTCTCTCGATTTTTCTTTTCGTTGCTTCGGCGTCTCCAGTAATTTCACCCGCTAATCCTTTAGACAAGCATGCTCCTGTCGCTTGTTTTCCTTGTGCAATTACTGCCATCACTTCAAGTGGAGGTACTTGCGCATTACAAGATCTCACTGCCTCTGCATGGGACTGCTCCGCTTCTGCTGCTACGAATCCAGGTTGTACTAAAACTTGTACTGGCTGTTACCCACAATGTAGCTCTGCTACTACTTTCATGTGGGCTTGTGATTGTACATAATTTTTCAATTGTATTATAGTTGGCTCAGTCTAAAGACCTCCTAAATTTTGAGCAAATTTTAAAAGTATAGAAGTCATTTTCTGTCCTACATTTTAAAAAAATAGCGTTATTAGTTGATAGAATAGGTCTTTAGTTTTAATGTAATAACGAGATATTCTCAAAAAAATTCTTTGTTGTAGAGTTCTATTCTTTTTTAAAACATGTACTTTACTATGCTCGCGAGGAATTTGTCCACTAAGATCATTGCTAAATTTAGACTATTTTTTGGTCATCCTTACTAAATTTAGACTAATACTCGACCATCATATCTAAATTTGGCAGTAAGGAAAATAAAATTTTAACCAAATCACGTGAAACCCTTTTTTTAAAAAATTTTATTGCATTTTTGAACGAATCACGAAATCGCTATTTTGAAATTTGTCCACGTGGCGCAGCAATAGGAGGTCTTTAGACCGAGCCAACCATATATCCTAGACTTTCTATATATTTTTTCAATTACTTTCAATATGATGTAATTATTATTTAATATTTTTATTATTTTGTGAAAGCTCCATTTTTATTCATGTTTTATAAAATACAGTTTAAATATAGTCGAGAAACTTTTATTTATCGAAATTGTTGGTATTCTTTTTCTCATGGTTTTAGTTGGTTTCCGTGTTCTGTCTTTTTGCCGCTAGCAAATACTAACTTTCCTGCAAATCTTGTAATTCAAGATGTTTAATGTTACGCGTATGTTGTGTCTAAATCATGTCCTGAATATCATGATTCGTGATATGATTGGAATGAAATTTGTATAAATTTTCATAATTGCATTGAAACCATTGTTCATTGCATTCATTTATAATAATAATTATAACATTAGAATTTGCATCACTCACCTACCATAAATATCCGACCACCTGATGATCATTTTAATAATTGGGGAACTTATACCTCACGCAGTTCAAAATTTTATTAATCAAACCGGGACTGGTGCATTAAGTAAACATATTTTTTTAAAGTCAATTTGAATATAAACTTAAAGTTTCGTCGAGTTTGCATTATTAATGAATTTAGGATGAAAATTTTAAATTAGGCAAAAAATTTCGTGATTTTTATGAAAACTTTAAGCTTAGTAAAAAGGTTCAAAACTCTGTTGAATTATGGATTATGTCATTAAGTAAGTCCACTTAAAATACCGTGAATTATATATGGTTAAAATTTGAGAAAATTTGATCAAGTATAGACAACAAAACGTAAAGCCTTAAAATTTGCATTTTGTCAACTTTATTAAGTGTTTTATATGATAAAATTACAGGGTGGTCGGATACTTTTTTAAACCCTTTTCATAAACTAATTTATGCTGACACCATATTGTAAATATATGTAATCTGTTACGTTAAGCACGTTTTATTAAGGTAATAATATACATTACAACAAAAAAATTTGACCTTTTATTACATGTAAAAATTCAATCGGAAATTTGCTTTTTTGGATGATTTGCTAAATATTTCCATTAATAACATACCGAATTTTTGTAATATAGGGTTTTGATATCAAATATGAGTTTATTTAGTATGGCGGAAAGGTTTTATTTAAGAAAACGCACTTTATTTAGTAAGCACTTTTTTCATTTGACGTTACACAGCGCAAGTGGTCGGATATTTATGGTGTATAAAAATAAATTGCATAAATGAGGGGATAACTAACTATTATTATTACATCAATTAGTAGATTGCCAAATTTATCTAAATGGTAATTATATTCCCTGCGATAACGATGATTTTGTATTTATATTTCTACGAGAAGAATGTGTTTATGATATTAATTCAAAATTATTTATAATAATCGTTTTAATTAAGTTTTCATTGTGTCGTTCAATAATTATTGTTGGTTGCTAAAACCATTTTGAAGAGGCGAAAGTCAAAACTAGTTTCGACTTTTGCACAGTTACGAAGCTCTATAGTTTTGGAAACTAACACTATTCCTGATCCTTTTATATAGACATGAAATATATTCTTTATGGATTTCCATTTTGTTAGGTTCGTTGTGTTTGAAAATAAATAACAATTATCAATGTAATTCATAATATTTAGACTGAACCGATTTCCGGTAAGTAGCAAGAAATCTGTATCTTCTTCACGAGATCTTTTTGAGATGAGAATGTTGTCAAAGAAAGATAAAGCTCTCATGGTGAAGAAGATAAAAATGACATTACTACAAGATAAAATAAATATCATTCTTTATTGAAGAAAATGCACATTATCATCACGCGTATTGATAATATTAACCTTTATTTTCAGCATTACTATGAGCATCCCACTTTGAGGTATGCATTCCCTTTGCTCTATGGATACATTGCAGCTTCATTTCAATCACGTCCCAGCCTGTCCACCACATTATATAATCTAAAAGTTAAAGTTTCATAATAATATGTAAGGAGAGATGGAACATATATTTCATACTGCTTGAATAATAAAAGATCAAATTTAAAATTTATTCTCAAACTTTTTCTATATTCTGCATAAAGTGCAAATAAAAGTAATCATAACTTATTTAACTTGCTGCTTTTGTAACCAACAATTATAATAAAGTTAGGTGTAATAATATACCAACTAGATTTAAAATAAAATGCACCAGAGATTGGAACCATGTATAATTCGTTAACCGGTTAACTGGTAAATATGATTAATTTATTAGGTTCAACTATTTCGGCTTCAAATTCCAAATCACTATGCAAAAAAGAATAAATTTCAAATTAATTGGTTAATAGGAAAAAAAGTTTCTTTGATGGAATGAAAATTATTCTATTTAATTTGTCTTATTTGTAGTAAATCAATGACTAGATATAATGGCAAATGTAGAAACATATTGTTATAAATAGAATCTACTACCCAAATGTATGGTTGGTTACACTACACGACTACAGAAATTTCGTCATGCTTGCTGATTAGATTTTATTTTTTCAAATATGAAATTAGAAGTTGAGCTTCTTTAATAAAAACAATTGCATGTTTTTCTATCAGATTGAGTGAAATTTTTCTTTTCTTTTAAAAAAAAAAAATGACAAATATAACATTTTCTGATAAAGATAAAGAGGATAGCGAGGCCGAAAATGGAACAAAAATAGGTCATAAAAGACAATTGTCAACTTCAAATTTACAACAATCACAAAAACGTCGAGTGTATGTCAACATGCCATTACCAACAGAAGAACTTGATCAGCATGGTGAACCTAAAATATCTTTTGTACCAAACAAAATACGTACCTCAAAATATACCCTTTTAAATTTTCTACCAAAAAATATATTTGAACAATTTCGTAGAGTGGCAAATATATATTTTCTTTTTTTGGTCATACTACAACTTTTTCCACTTATTGGTAGTGGTGTTTCTCCTATTGTTGCTGCCGCCCCATTGCTCTCCATCACAATTATGACTGCAATTAAAGATGCTTTTGAAGACTGGAAACGTCACTCCCAAGATAATACACTTAACAAATCAAGAACAACCAAATTATCCAATTGGCGTAATGTTAATGTACCTGGAAGTGATCGTAAACGGTTTAAATTTTTACGTAGTATATTGAACGGTTTACAGAAAAATAAAATTCATGAAAATAATAATAAGAATTATGCAAGTCAAATGGAAATATCATCAATTTATGGTGCAAAATGGATAGATAGTCGTTGGCAAGATGTTAGAGTTGGTGATATTATACAATTGAGAAATAATGACTCTGTTCCTGCTGATATAATAATAATTTCTACAAGTGAACCTGACGGACTTTGCTATGTAGAAACAAAAAACCTCGACGGTGAAACAAATCTCAAAATCCGTCATTGTAACAATGCCACTTCATCTTTGGCAACAGAAAATGATTGTGAGCATACATTTTTCTATGTTGAATCAGAACCACCACATCCCAATCTATATTCATATAATGGTACATTACATTGGGTTGGAAATAATAATTCAAATGGAATCAACAACAATGATGGCGATGATATGAACTATTCCAATGAAAAAAGTGTGCCAATAACCATCAATGATGTTCTTTTGAGAGGTTGTACTCTACGTAATACTGAATGGGTTATAGGATTGGTAATATTTACTGGTACTGACACTAAAATCATGTTGAATTCTGGTGATACTCCAAGTAAAAGGAGTCGTATAGAAATAGAAACAAATTTTCATGTGTGTGTTTTTTTTTTAAAGTTATCTTTGAGAAAAATTAAAATTTATCATCAAATAAATTGATTTATTATTTTTTTTTTTATAGGTTACTATGAATTTTATTATATTGTTCTTGCTTTGCTTAGGTTCAGGTATAGCTCGAATGATATATTTTATTCAACCTCGAAGTTCTGCAGATATTTTTGGATATGAAGGAAACGTTGAAGGTGGTGCATTATTTAGTGGGTTTTTAATATTTTGGTATGAAAGGCATATAATTTTGAGTGAGAACAATCAAGTATATTTAATTTTTATATGCAATCAATCAATCAATCATTTATTTTAAATTTTTTTTTTTAGGACAAGTTTAGTTTTATTTCAAAATATTGTACCAATTTCATTATATGTTACAATCGAAGTGGTGAAAACTGTACAGGTAAATTAATATAACATATTATAATAACGATGATACAAATATTTATTATATTTGCAAAATAATTTATTTAATCATACAAACGCACATGCATATCTTTTTATTTGTAAGGCATATTTTATTCATTCAGATATTGAAATGTATTATGAAAAACTTGATTATCCATGCGTTCCAAAAACTTGGAATATTGCTGATGATTTAGGCCAAATTGAATATATTTTTTCTGATAAAACTGGCACCTTGACACAAAATGTTATGGAGTTTCGTAAATGTACAATCAATGGTGTTACATATGGATTAGGTGAAACAGATGCTATGCGTGGTGCAAAATTACAAGAACGGCTTAATAGTGGTGGAAAGATGAGAGGTGATGGTGATGATGATGATGATGAAGTTGATTTGGAGGCAGAGAAAAAATTAATGTTAAAAGAAATGTCAAATTTATTTGAAAATAAATACACCTCCCAAAAACTTACATTCATTGATTCAAAATTATACCAGGATTTAAAAGTTATGGAGCAACAATCAAAAGCTATCCAAAATTTCTTTTCCGCATTAGCACTTTGTCACACTGTACTAGTTGAACATCCCAATGAAAATGATCCTTATGAAATTGATTATAAAGCTCAATCACCAGATGAGGCTGCTTTAGTTAGCTGTGCAAGAGATGTTGGATTTGTATTTCTTGAACGGTGCCAGGATACTTTAGCAATTGAAGTGATGGGTGAATATAAAGAGTTTATATTGTTAAATGTCTTGGAATTTAATAGCACCAGAAAAAGAATGTCAGTCATTCTACGTTCACCTGACGGAGGAATAGTTTTATTGTGTAAAGGTGCTGATAGTGTAATATATGAACGTTTAGAAAAAGGATCTCAATCAGAATTAAGACAAGAAACTTTAGAAGATCTTGAAGTTTTCGCTAAAGAAGGTATTTATATATAAACATATATCCAATATATCCAATATATAATATATATTAATTATATTAAAAATTACAAAAAATAAAAATTAAAAGGACTTAGAACACTTTGTATAGCATATCGTACTATATCAGAAGAAGAGTATAGTGTATGGTCAACAAAATATGCAGAAGCAGCATCTAGTATTAATGATAGAGAAGAAAAGATAGAAAAGGTGTGTGAAATGATTGAACATTCATTGATATTAATGGGAGGAACTGCAATAGAAGATCGACTTCAGGAGGGCGTGCCAGAAACTATAGCCACATTGGCACAAGCTGGTATTAAGTTGTGGGTATTGACAGGTGATAAAGTGGAGACAGCCATTAATATTGGATTTTCTTGTAGCCTGTTACAAAATGATATGCTTCTAATTATCATAAATGCATCAGACAAAAAAAGTATACTTTCCCAGATAAATGAAGCAATTGAAAATTTTTTCGAAAATCAAGACGAAAAGAAAAGTAAGCATGCACTGATCATAGATGGCGAAACACTCAAGTATGGATTAGATGATAGTGTGAAACCATATTTGTTAGATCTTGGTAAAAGATGTGAGAGTGTTGTTTGTTGTCGTGTGAGCCCATTGCAGAAAGCACAAGTAGTTTCTATGGTGAAAAATGGATTGAATGTGATGACATTATCAATTGGAGATGGTGCTAATGATGTTAGCATGATACAAGAAGCAAACATAGGAGTTGGAATTGCTGGTGAGGAGGGGCGGCAAGCAGCAATGTCTGCAGATTTTGCATTTGCACAATTTAGATATTTGGAAAAGCTTTTGCTTGTTCATGGACGTTGGTCATATATCAGAATAGCAGAAATGATTTCATGTTTTTTTTACAAGAATATTGTATGGACAATTGCAATGTTTTGGTATCAAACCTGGGCTGGGTTTTCTGCACAATATCTTTATGATTACACGTATATTTTGCTTTATAATCTTGTTTTTACAGCAATTCCTGTAATGTATCTGGGTGCATTTGATCAAGATGTTGATTCTAAAACCTCTTTAAAAAACCCACAACTTTATAAACGAGGTATTTTACAACAAGATTTTACAAAACTCAAGTTTTGGTTATATGTATTAGATGCAGTATATCAATCACTTGTATGTTTTTTTGTTCCATTCGGGTTGCTTCAATTTGGACAATCTCATGGCAATGGGTTGACAAATAACAGTTTAGAGGATTTAGGAACTCTGGTGGCAGGATCTGTGGTGGTGACAACTAATTTATATGTTGGATTGAATATTTTGAATTGGTCATGGATAGGATTTTTGGTTATTTGTGGTAGTATTTTATCATTTTATTTATGGGTAGAGCTTTACTCCATAGTGTACTCAATAGGATTCTTTAGAGTGGACATGATATTATTTTCTGATTTGGATTTTTGGTTGGCGATTACTATTGCAACTATATTTAGTATTATGCCAAGATTTGTTGTAAAGTATCTTCATGAATCATATTGGCCAACTGACACGGATATTATTCGTGAACAAGTGTATCTAGAAAAGAAATGTAGAAAGAAACAAACAATTGTTGAAGAGGAAGAGGATAGATTGCCAATTAATACTGAAACGGGAGGATATGTTGCAAGTTATTCAACTAGTGATATACACGAAAACTTGATAATGACTGAACAGACTTCAATGACAACAACAGCAATAAAGAAAGAAAATACAAAAACACCACAAAAAATTGGCAAATCAAAAAATAATAGACCAATAGGACCTGCTAAACCAACTGAACAATTTGTACACATGAATTCTGGTAGAAGGCAATCATTTACGGGATTCGCATTCTCAGTTGAGGAGAGTAAATTTGAGAACTTTAGGAAATCGGTTTATAAACCTATACAAAAAATTAGTAATAAATTACATAGACATAAAACCATAAAAGAATACACCGAATCATCATCACCATCATCAAATAATTTATTTAAATAGTAAATCTTTACCTAGTCTTTATTTCGTAGATTACCATCACCTAGAAATACCAGCAGATCTCCTTCACTAATAGATTAAATTCTAATAACACCAACAATAATGACCATAGTCATTATAATGAGTAGGAAGTTCAACTCATCATCATAATATTAATCATTTTAGAATGCAAATTTTTTTTAAAAAAATATTTATTGAATTTTTGTACAGTATTTTCAGTAATGATGAATTTTTTCTTTTTCTTCTTTACCTTTAGATAGATGATGATGGTGATGTTAATATATAATACTGTAGTAAAAATAATAATAATAAATAGTTTTGTAATATATTTTATGTTTAATATTATTAGGTGACATTCAAATCTGACATTTCCGAAATAATAATATTATTATTGTTATTACATATTAATATAACAGAAGTTTAACTAATCATCCATTGACAATTCACTCAACTCATCAATCCTTTCAACACTTTTTCCTTTATATTATTATTAAATAATAAATTAGCTTGCTAATAGTTATTTGGATTAACAAACTTCAATTAATCGTTAATGAAAAAAGTAAGAGGTGGGACAAGATGATATTCTAAATATTGAGGATGACAATGGTAATGGTAACGATGGAATTAATTCAATTGAGGTTGTTAGCACTGCTAATTTTTCCAAAAATAAAAGTTTTGTATACTATATATAATCACATTACAAGAATTATATGCATACTATTAGAATCTTCAAACTCATTATATTTAAAAAAATATAATTTTCAATTATGCAAAATTGTTGATAAGTTACTATCGATTGCTATTGACGTTATTATTCTTGAAAAAAAACATTATAAATTTGTAGTAAACAAAATCATTTGTTGGAAATTCTCATGTAACAAATATAAATTTATACCAATTTAGGTGTCTGGTAACATCCAGTTAATACTATTAATACTGCTTGCTCTTTCAATTGTGACTCTGCATCAATCAGTTCCTTGTAGTTCTCTATTGTCAATTTGATGAGATTCTACAAATATAATATAGAAGTGAGTTAAAAAGCAAGTAAAAAATTTATTCATTTGACGATAACAAATCTGTATCACACTTGTAATTGCAACATGTTCTTAGCTATTTTAATAAATGTAGATGGGAACATTGTACAGAAGGTAACAGGTGCTTGAAAACGATCAATTTCTACACAACCGTACCAACCATTTGTAATGTAATTAACACGTAAAATTCTATAATTAAACTTTGTTGGAATAATACCAGGTCATGGAATTTTATTTAATAGCTGTATAACAACAACATTATGTTGATTTTTTCTGATGTTTAAGATGTTTCTTAATAATGCCAAGTTTATGTGATGAAGGACATACTCTATCACCACACATTTTTGGATTATTTGTTTTTGGACATTTGATTTTTGTGACGATCTTCCTTCCAGATAATCACGCAAAAATTAAATATTGGCTTGAAGATCGTTACGCAAATTTTTAAAAAGAGTTTTGAATTGACAAAAATAAAATGTTTATAATAAATAAAAAAATTAATATAGTATTCCTTTATTGAATGTTTTTAATACATAGGCTTGGTTTTTCATTATACGGTCTAATATATTATTTACTTTTCAACTTTTCATTGACCTCATCAAATCAACATTTTACCTTTGATCATGAATTATATAATAGATTAATGTTATGTAAAAAACACAAATTTGGTCAGATGAGGTCGAAGGGTGTTTTTGCTGGAAAAGCTCCCATATAAAAAAAAGGACCATTTTAGGACTGATAACATATCAATCTAGTGTTACAATTTCACTATAGAAATGGTACTCGTTTAAACTTCAGTCCCTATTTAGTATTAGTATTAGTATTGTAAATAATTAATATTAATATGTATTAATATTTAATGTATATTATTACAAAAAAATTTGACCTTTTATTGCATGTAAAACTTCGATTGAAAATTTGCTTTTTTGGATGATTTGCTAAATATTTACATTAATATCATACCAAACCATTCAAAATTTTTGTAATATAGTTTTGATATCGTGAGTTTATTTAGTAATATTAATATTAATGATATTCTGTGAGATATACTTTATTCAATGCATGAAAACAATTTATTTGGTATCACAAATTCATTGTTTTAATATTAAAGTTTGCCAATTAGTAGTTTTTTGCACTGTTGATCACTATAAGAATTCTCTGATTCATGTAATTAAAAAGTAATAAATAAAATTCATAAATTCACTATACCACTCTTTTTAAGCAGTTTTCGCTTATCCATTTCTACCTTATTTGGGTACTTCGAAGAACAGGCAGGAATAATGGATTTAGTGATCTGAGAAATTTTTTTTCACAATATCATTGACAAAATTCGATTGATTACTTCATGTCACACTATTAGATAATACAAACGCCAAAAATTTTTGTTTATACCGATAAAACCAATCAGTCATTTTGTATCTTATCGTTATCAAAAAAAAAATTTTTTTCGATCACTGCAAATATTTCTTAACGAAATTTTAAAACATGGCCTCTCACGAAATCATCGAAGTTGCAGAATCACCAAATTTGAACCAAGGCATTTCCTTATGGCGGAATCCTTCACTTTATATTCGCTCATCCATCAAAGAGAGAACATTACATATAAAAAAGAATACATCTCTATCAGAATTAAGTGGCAGTCTCGGAGATTTAGGCACTTTACTTCCCATCTTAGTAGCTCTTTCGATCACTGGACAAATTTCTTTGACCGCATCGCTTATATTCGGAGGTCTATGGAACATCACTAGTGGTTTGATGTTTCGAATCCCCATGTGTGTTCAACCTATGAAAGGCAATAAATTTATTTTTCATGATTTTTATCGGTTTTTTTTTAAAAAAAATATTAATAATACCTATGTCTATAACAGCTATTGCGGCGGTAGCGATCTCGATACAATTATCAATAGGTGAAGTCATGTCGGCAGGTATTGGTGTTGGGTCTATGATATTTATTCTTGGCATCACTAGAACTATCAAGATCATCGAAAAGTGGACACCCATTCCAATCGTCAGAGGTATTCAGTTGGGTGCAGGCATGATTCTAATCATAAAAGCTGTCGAACTGGTTCGAAAAAGCGGTAGTTGGGGTGGTAGTTCTTGGAAATGGAATGATAACTATGAATGGGCCATGCTATCGTTCATATTCGTATTTACGTTTTATTCATCTAAAAAAACACCAACGGCATTAATTCTATTTGTTTTTGGGCTAATAATCGCATTTATAAAAGTCTTTGAATCTGGTAGTACATTACCATCGGCCTCATTTAATTATCCCGAAATTGTTGTCCCAACCCTAGAAGAATTTAAAACCGGATTTCTTAGTGCATCTCTTGGTCAACTTCCACTGACAGCTCTCAATTCTGTTATCGCATTGTCGGTATTAGCTAATGATTTGTTCCCGGAACGGTCCTCATTGAACACTGTTGAAAAAATTTCAATTTCCGTCGGACTTATGAACATTATTGGATGTTTTTTTGGCTCTGTTCCATATTGTCACGGATCAGGTGGACTCGCTGGACAATACCGTTTCGGCGCAAGATCCGAAGTTAGCGTTTTGATCCTTGGATTTTTTAAATTAGTCCTGGGGATATTATTTGGAAAGACTTTAACCAATCTCCTAAATTACTTCCCTAATTCAGTTCTTGGTGTAATGCTCTTTGTTTCTGGAGCGGAATTGGCATCCGCAGCACGAAATTTTATGAACACTTCTGATGATAAAGATGATGATGAGATAAAAAAGAAGAATTTTGCCCTAGTGATCGTAACAGCAGGATTATTGGTCGGCTTCCAAAATGATGGAATTGGATATATTGGTGGTATGCTGGTTAGCCTTTTGTTTTTTATTACTCGCTTCTTGATGATGAAACTTAAAAAGTGAATTATAAAACAATATACGAAAATTTAAAATTATTTACGACAAGAAAGGAAGTTTTTATTTGTAATATACTGTGCAGTATACCATTTTATGTATAATTTGTAATTAATAGTTAATAATATCAGTAACAACAATAACGTGATCTAATTGAAGTTAACGGCAGTCTAGTTAACAATTATTAATAAAGGCGTGAAAAAAATTCCAATTTTGGAATAGAAGATTTTTGTCCAGTATAAATATTTCGAAAATCTTGACAACTATTTATTAGTCTTATTTATTTTTGTCAAACGCGCTAACCTACAGTTTTTCAAAAAAGGAAATCTTCTACAGTCCGTTTTATAAACTATGCAACAATATGCAAATTACAATTTGCTATTTTATTATTTACAGATTGCAATTTTTGAATTTCGCAAACTGCAGATTGCAAATTGCATATCGCAAAGGTTTGTTTCTGAATTTTTGGTAAACTGAATTTTTGGAGCAAAATTGAAATATATACAAAACATTGTGGTGAACAAATTTTTTTTTTGTGTTGACACAATTCGTCAAAATGATCATCATCATCTCTTTTTGAAAAATGTAAATAATGATAATGATACATTCGTTTATAAATTTTAATCATGTTCATTGATTGTTGTTGGCAATTAAAAAACCATTGATTTTGTTCTTTTCTGCTTATTAATGATTAATAAATAACATGGTGATAATTTTTTTCCCTAGATTGTTGTTAATTATTAATTAATATAATAAAAAAAATAGTGCGGGTTGTGTGACTGTACAAAAAGCACGTTAATGTTTAAATATGTATTAACAAAAAATAAATTATTTTTGAAGAAATTTTTTTTTTAAAAACAGTCGAAGCCTCCTTGGAAATTTCAATTAGCATTATTGTTATGAGAACAATAACTTTACATTTTGTAAATATCAATAAAGAACTTCCGGTCTTCTTTTTTTAGATAAAATGAAATTTCTACTATGCTAAATAATGTGTAGTGGGGAAGAAGAAAAACCAATCAATCTAAGATTTGAGAAAGCCTCTTATCTCCTATTTACACAGAGCCAATCATCTTAAAAAATCCCGAATCCAAAAAAATTATCTTTGTTACTATCAACAATTGAAATTTGTGAATGGTTTTTGATAAAAGGTAAAAATTTGGCTAATCGCGAAAAATAAAAAAAAAGAATTAGCTGATTCATTTTTTTAATAACAATAAACAATAAAGATTGATTGTTTATTTAATGATAACAAAAATAAAGGTTGATTGTTCAATGATAATGAAAATAAAGATCAATTGTTTTTTTTTATTAAAAAAAAAAAAATAAAGATTGATTGTTTTGTCACAAGAAATAAATAAGTCTGCCATCTTAACCTTTTGTTTTTTTTTATGTTTATTAAAAACAACAGATGTTGATGTTGATAATGAACAAATTTGGGTTGCCTTTACTGTTCATTCTGCCATTGTTGATGCTGTCCTCTCCAAGCAGAAGATTAATATACAGAACGCTTTTGGTCTAACACACAGGTAAAAAAAGGAAATTCGGAATAAAACCGGTGAAATATCAGATACCTGATTTTTTACCTATTTTAAGAATATTGATGATTTTCTCATATCTGATTGTTATTGAATTTTGGCGCACATTGGCAACAATCAGTAACCAAAAGGTAGAAACTCAGTAATCAAAAATCAGCAAACTATCAGGCAAAAAAATGTATCATATCAGACACCCTGAACTTTATCTGATCTTTTATACTAATTGCTGAAGAAGGTATTATACTGATTTTTATCAGATTTGCTAAATTTGAAACTCATTCATTTGTTTATTTTAAACTAGGACAGGTTTTTTTTCTTACATTGGAAATTGAACCCACTTACCTCTGTATCCATTGTTCGCTTCTTATCCATTACACTATATAACTTATTTCTCCATAAGTTATTGTAATTGTTTATTATAACTTGCATCAATAATAATGATAAGGTATTCAATGACCAATTAGAAAAATTCGATAACAAATCAAAAAAAAAAATCAATTATTCGTCCGATTTTTGGCAATGTTAATAATCAGTTGACAATCGGTAATTCCGAATTTTAACTAATTAGCTTATTAAAAATAGTGACAATTCTGAAAACCCGGATTTTTAGCAATTACAATGTTAATAATCGGTTGACAATCGGTAATCCCGAATTTATTGTTTATGATTGATCAATTTGACAAAAATCGGGAGTATTACCGATTTTTCTTTTTTTTACTTGTGGCAATTGACCTCGAGATCATTGAATGAATTAGTACTAGAGACATGGTGGTTGCTGACCTACATAATACTAATAAAAAGGTTCCATCCATTGTATATACAAAAAGATTATTTCGGTTATTTGTAAATTCAAGCCCCGAATTTTATTTTTGGCCAAAAATGAAAAGAACTTCAATGTAAAAAAAAGAAAGCATGAATTTCTGTATATTTTAATTGGATAAAAATGGCCGTGTATCATATGATCAGATGTTCAACAAGTTTAATTAGAACCATTGACCAAGTCAATTACACCTCTCAAACTCTATACAGTTTACTCTCTATATAGTGGACCATTTGGTCTAGTACTAGGAAGAATATCTGTTATAGAGGGAATTCGTTATAGACAGCAATAATTTATATATGATACATATAAATTGGGCTTAGATTCTCCTCAGTCCATTGTAAAGCGTGTCTTGCACCACTGTTCATTTATAAACAAATCGTCAATCAAATCCTTAGGTTCACAAAATACCAAAAAAAGAAATGTGTTTATTTATTAAATTATTTCTTATTAAAAAGTTAAAATGTCATTTCATGAGTTATATGAATTATTAACACCAGAAAGAAGAGAATTACTACTTAAAAATTATAACGAAATGGAGAGTATCGCTCATTTTGCTTTTCCAACTGTTTCTGACAGAGAAAATAGAAAAGTAATTTTTTACAATTAGTCAATGAAAACCAAAAACTATTAGAAAATGAAAAGGAATTTTGTAGAGAAAGGTTTGTTTATAATTTTGAAATCCATAATGCAATTTATAAATTTGGTGAACCAAGAGAATGCAATAATTGTAAAACAATAAGATACTCTGATAAATATTGTGAAAAGTGTATTGGTCTATGCTTACAGAGCCTTTTTAGCACTTGGACATCTGGAAACAAGATAATTGATAGTTTTATTCAAGAGTGTCAACAGCTTTCATCTCTTCCAGGTAGAATTATAGAATGGGTACCTTATGAACAATTTTATGATATAGAAAAATTAACAGAAGGTGGATTCAGTTCTATTTATACTGCTATGTGGACAAGAGGAAGAATTGTTGATTATGATGAAAATAAAAAGGAATTTAATTATTTTCAACATAAGAATGTAGTATTGAAATCATTAAATAATTCAAATAATCCGGGGAAACCTTTTTTTAATGAGGTGATTGATCTTATTTAAAATAAACTATATAAATTAAACCATCATTTTAAATTAAATTATTTATTTATATAATTAATTTCAGGCATTGAGTTATTGTAAAATTAAATCAGCCTCAATTGTTCCTTGTTATGGTATAACTAAATTCCCAGAAAATGGAAATTATGTAATGGTGCTTAATTATATATCAGAGGGAAATTTAAGAGATTATATACAAAAAAATCATTATAATTTAACATTAAAAGATAGAATTAATATTTTTAAAAGTTTATGTGAATCATTATATTTTATACATGAAAAAGATTTAATTCATTGTGATTTACATAGTGGTAATATATTATTGCAAGGAGGTGGTTGTTATATCACAGATTTTGGGTTATGTGGACCAGTTGATGAAAAATCATCAAATAAAATTTATGGAATTATACCTTATATTGCATCAGAACTATTTAAAGGAAAAAAATACACAAAATAATCAGATATTTATAGTGTTGGGATGTTAATGTGAGAAATATTTGCAGGACATCCACCAATTTGATGATGTAGCTCATAATTGTGATTTAGTGATTAATACATGTGAAGGTTTACGACCACCAATATTACCAGGAATGCCTGATGATTGTGTAAAAATGATGCAGAAGTGTTGGGATGGGGATCCATCTAAAAGACCAACTATTAGAGAGCTTTGGGTCTTTGCTGGTGATCAACTAGAAGAAATTATCAATAACGATAATGATATTAATAGTATTAGTAGCAATTCACAACAAATTCACAAACCACATCCATTAGCATATAATACAAGTAGAATATTAAATGATGTAAATGATGAATTTGCTAATTTAAAAAGCAATGATAGTTTATTAAGTGACCTTGATATTAATGAAATATAATTTTATAATGAAAATTAAATAGTTAATAATCGAATTTATTAATCTAAATTTATTAATTAATATTAACAAACAGCTGATAAGGTTAAAGTTGGAGGATTGGTAAAATTGTTGATGGGTAGATAGTTAATTAATATTAAGAATTTTTAGGCGGTTATTTCAATAATTCTTATTTACTATCTTATTTAATAATATTGTTTGTCAAAAATGACAATATTAAATAAAAAACTTGATGTAAGTAAAAATCTTAACATAAGTAAAAACCATTGACGTAAGTCAAATCTCTTGACCTAAGTGAAGAATCATGACCAAGTAAACAATTAAATTGAAAATTTTATTAACTGAATTACTATTGAATAACACTATTGAAATTGAGATTTTTTCTTATGTATCCGCTGTGACAAGGTTTGACTGAACTAACGACAAACTGAAACAATGCTTCCAAATAATAAATGACATTAATTTTATTTACTCTTCTAAAAGACATTCTCCGTCTCTATCACGCACAACCATTCGAGAGTTTCAAGGTTGAGTTTATTAGTTTATGGAGATCCCATAATATTCTGGTAATTTTGAAAATTTATTCGAGTTTTATTAACTAGAGAAATGCTTTATGACAAATGACGAATAATTTTTTTAATTTCCATACCAAATTATTTTATTTTGTTGGTTATATTTGTAAAGGAATGGATAGACGCCTTTCTTCTAATCTTTTATATTTTCGATCATAGATTTGTCAATAATAAAGGCATACTTATTCTTTGAATTATCTCAAGAGGCAAACCTGCTAAGAGCGACATATGCTTGCCCAGGAGAAATATCTGTGAGCCAAAGCAATCGAAGTGGATGGTAAAGTTAAACCTTTGTTTTGAGAACAATTGTATACTGTGATTTTTTCAGTTTGATTGTAGATTATACACATAGATGTAAAAGAGTACACTCCTTTTGACAACATTCACGTATTAATATCTAGTGAACATACATTGCAAAAAAAGGTGACGACATCCTACTTATCAATGCGAAAATAATTAAAATAATCAAATAGCTTCATAATGTATTGCTTATTGCAATTCATTTTATTGGATAGAAAATTCAATAATATATAAAATTGTAATGTTATCACTTATTTTACTTGAGCAATTTTTAATAAAATTAGACTAAAGTAGGTATTATTCTAAACGAAGAGCCTCCTATATCAATTAATTTAGATCAATTTTTATGAAACTCTTCTTTGATCTTGGTAGAAACAATCTTCCAGTTAATTCAAACTTTGCACCAGGGTAAATGACATTTGATGCATATTTAAGTACTGGTAAACGCAACAATAATTGACGGTAACCATTACGTATGGAGTGACATCCATCCGGTTTTTTGATCTCAACAATTCCCATGCAGGTTGTGTGTTTGCCCTAGAGACTTTTGCAACTGTACGAAAGTCAAAAGATTTCACCACAAGTCGAAACTAGTTTTGATTTTTTAGTTTTGACATAACTTTTAATTTTAGCTTTGACTTTTGCTTCTTCAAAATAGTTTTTGGCGACCAACACTAGTTTTGGATAGCAATTTCTTTCATAATTCTTTCATCTATTTCTTTCTCTTCGATCATCACCATTTCAACTTCATTGTACTTGTCAGTACAGCTTTACCTTTTGATTGTTGATGTTGTCATTGTTGATGATGACGACGACGATGAGCTTAAGTCAACCGAGAAAGATTTTCTACAGAATGATCTATGGCTACGATGAACACGTACCCGTTTACGATGATGAATTATTAATTTATTGTTGTTGTTGTTATTATCACAGTCGTCATTGTCATCATCATCAACGTCACCGGTAGTTTCAAATTTAACTTTATTATCTGAGTTGGTGAAGATAACGCTGATATAATTGATAAATTTTTGTCAGAATTAAGAGTCATAGATGGTGATGGCATAGTCCACGAACTTGTAGTAGTATTATCGTTGTTGTTATTTCCAAATGGGAAGGATCTTCTCTAATCTCCATACTATTGTTATTATTATCAACATCTTTAATTTTCATCACATCGTCGTAATAATAGATTTTTTCTCAAACCTCTTATTTGTATATCGATTGAAACAAAAAATGTTGAATCATTGGAATCGGAAAAACACAGTTCAATTGACGACAATGATATGTAGAAAAAAAGTATCTAAAATTGATAGAGAATATATAAACCAAATTGGAAATCCTATCCTCAGAACACCAGAAGGAAGACCAGCTGATATAAAGGACCATTGGAATTAACCAATACAATTTTATCTTTTGAAACAATCACAAGGCGAAATAAGTGTGGATTGTGTAATAATATTGGTGATTGCTTATGAAAATTAAAAAATAAATATACCATGCATACAAAATTTATTTTATTAAGTTTTATGCACCTTGCATTTTTGTGAAAACAAAACCACTTTTTATAATACAATCTAAGAAAATAACATATATATAACAACCATTAATTAATTATTATTATTCCATCTTCCCGCTCAATTATTATTATATGAAAACAAGCTTATAATAAATAACCAGTATTTATAAGTGATATAAAAAAAAAGTTTTATGTGTGTGGGTTAAAGATTAATCCTCATTATCTTTATGAATGTTTATGATTGTGACTATACTTGACTTTTATGATATTTGTCCAGTGTGCTTTTGAATGGATCACCTATGATACCACCTTGGCTATCCCTTAACACAACTTCATCATCGTCTACCGAGTCATTATTTGAACTTCTATATTTCCATGCACCTATGATAGCACCTGCTATAATAATAACACCACCAAGTACAGAAATAGATATTATTACAGTTTTAATTGTTGAACTACCATCACCATTATCACTGTTAGCACCAATGTTGGTATTACTTGGAGTACTCTTTGGATTTGAACTAGGATTTGAACTAGGATTTGAATTAGGATTTGAATTAGTGGTTGATTTAGGTAATTCTGATGGATCCACCGTGCTAGTTAAAGTTATAGTTATTGGTGGTTCATTGGATGGTGATGGTGGTGACGCGGTTTTTTGTGTTACCGGAGGTTGTTGATCTTGTTGCGGCGGTGGCTGACTTGTTTTTGCAGGTGGTGGTGGTGATTGAGGATCTGGATTATTTGGATCTGTTGTAGTTGTTGCCACTGGAGTATTTGGTGTTGTGGGGACATTTGGTGTTGCGGGATCATTTGGTGTTGCGGGATCATTTGGTGTTGCGGGATCATTTGGTGCCGCGGGAGCATTTGGTGTCTCTAGATTTGATGTTGTTGCGGTAAGAGCTGTTGTTGCAGGAGACTTTTGTTCTGACGTTGCTATAGGTGCTTTAGTATCTTGCGGAAGTGCATTTACTCCAAAATTACAATTGCCATTAAATTGGGGTATTAGTGTCGTTATTAATATGAAAGAAAATAAACAAATTGATATCAACGTTGATATTTTTTTCATTTTAATCTAAATTAAATTATTTATATAGTTTAATATTTTCTTTTTCTTTTTTTATACTTTTGTTTTTTTTTATATAAGACTTTATTTGCTAGATATCCTGATATCTTTAAGCCTTAATATATGTATAATGTGTATATATATGTATGTGTGTTGTATTCACATAAATAATATAATGGTCTTTCCAATTAAAAACAAGTTCCTGAAAAAAGATAATTTTGGAAAAAATATATACAATTCCAACATTAATATCATATATATTAACATATATTTTATATATTTTTTATATAATATTAATTTTAACTCACCTTTGGAAATATTGGAAATAAATGAAATAATAATAAAGAGTTGGATAAAGAATTTTTCGGGAATCCAAATTAAGTGGAAAATACTATTACACAAGCACAATTGTGGCATGATTATATTGTACTATTAATCTTAAACTAATAATTTACCTGTTTTGTACCTTCTATATTCTTGACACTTGGATCTATGTTAATATTGGAAAAATCTGTGTGATATATAATGGCTTGAAGTCATGAATAGAGATTGATGGATAGGGTTTAACACCATTCCTTTTTGTACTAGTCTTCAACCTAGCCAATTTTTGTTTTAAATAGTTTAAAGGCACAAAACTTGTATTACAAAATAACGTTTTCTTTAATAAAAAAATGGCTATTGCAAGAAAAAAAAAAAAAACTAAGTTTAGAAGGAATTACGAACAGAATGAGCACTTGAAACAAAAAAAATTCGCCCTCATGCGGTGTACACAAATATACAAGTTGTTTCCAAATTTGGTTAATTCATGTATCCAGGATTAGAAATTTTACTATTATATTAACAATAGTAATAGTACTAGATCTTTCTACAATTCCACAAACATGATTGGTAATGGTTGATTATCAACATCAATAATAAATTTTCATATATGCGGATTTTTTAAACGTTATTTTGACCAACCCCAATGACATACGCAATCCACAGTTGTTTTACAGCCATCACATTCGAATTTGGTATGTCCAGAATCATAAAATTCGGCTTGATTCTTTTATAATAGCTGCAAATTACTAAATATAAATAAAACCAAACAGTTATACTACTTTTTTGCTTTGTCTGATAGCATTACCACAACTAATCTTCAAATGCTATTCGCCTTTATTCAATTATTAATCCCCTGCTGAATGTGCCATTAGGACTTTTTCATCATCATCAAGAACATAATTAAAGTGTTCCCTTATTACTTCATCTTGAATTCCAAAAGGATGAACTCTATATGAACTAAGATAATAATAGATCTCACTTACCTGTTGGTCAGATTGTGATGTATTGACATGTTAGGCTCAATCATAACTATAATGAGCAATAGCATTGATACTACAATATTGTATCTCTTTTGCTATAAAATAATTTGATGAACTAGTTTCCTTTGTTTTGATTTCGTATTTTCCTGGTTTTGCCTTTGAAAGATGACCCTTGTATTTTTGAGCAAGTATCTGGCCACTTTCTCCTTAAAAGATGAACACATTGACGAAATGTAACATCTTCCATTTCAATAGTCCTTCCTCTTGATAGAAGACCTTTTAGTATTCTCAAAAATCACTTTATCATTTTGACCAAGCCTTAATTCTAAAATATCACTCAAATGACATCTCATCTTGATTGCATCAAGGACTTCACTACGCAGTACATTTCCATTTGTGTTGACCAATAAATTTACTGACTCAACCATATCCAAAAACACCTCATTTTTCCAATGTTTTACCTTCTGATCGCTATAATACTGCATTGGTAAGAGCCATTAACAGTTTAACTTGATTACTCTTTCCCATTTTTGTCTCATTTAACATTGTTTGTCAAAATTTTTGACTTAATATTAAGCAAAAACCTTAACATAAGTTAAAACCCATGATATAAGCCAAGCCTCTCAAGTAAAAAATTTGACGAAAGTTTTGTTCAATTGAATTATTGAAGTAATTATATGTTTGCATTTTTAGATTATTTAGATTGATATATTATTGTTTAATTTTTTGTAATTATCAATTTCTACATTGACTCCACCAGTCAGTATATATAATATTAACCATATTAAACAATATAGCTGAAGAAAGAATGGAAGATAGAAATGGTTATTTATCTTGGATTTCCAACGCTTGCAATCATTGATTATTGAAAAAAAGCTCGATTACAAGATGTAGCTAGCAGTTGGTATTTTTTCATAGCGTATGATTTTTGTAGTTGCTGTTGCCATTGCTATATATATCTTGGTTACAGGGGAATCTCTGCTTTCTTAAATTTCAGCAAAGGATCATTAACAAATGGTAATTTATTAATTAGATTTATTAGAATTCAATTTAATTAAAAGGTTGAATTAAAATCAATAAATTCCTGATAAAAAAGGTTTATCAAAAAGAAAGAAAGAAAATCAGAGTCCATTATACACACAGTAACAACGACACCGACAGCAGGAGCAGAAACCACACACACATTATAATGCTTTATTCCAACGACTGCAATAATTTATAATAATTTATAATAATTTATAATAATTTGGTAACAGTAAAAATTATTTATTTTATGTAATATTAAAACATCTTTGTTGTCAATTGTTTTTCGAAAAGATTTCATGTATGCATTTGGATGTAAGTATATTATTAACGGCTCTTATTATTATATAGAATCAATCATACTGAGAAAAAAAATTATTGTTCCATTCAATTGTACGAGAGAAAAAAATATCTTTTTTATTGCTTTATAAAATAAATTTTTTTTAAAAAAATGCATCAACCAAGTAATAATACTACTACAGGGGTATGCTTTGCCTTCCGATTCGAATAACAACAAACTACTGGAGATGGTGACACAACCCAGTAATCTGTGCTCGCGTAGAATAATAGCCAAGAACTTTAAATCTAACGTTGTTTTATTTAACAAAATCCCATACGAATGCAAGGAGCCTATGGGCTATTTAAGATAAGGGTTTGCATTAGGCTTTGGTGAGCGTTCAACCGGCTAGACATCAAGACAGCAACGGCTACACAGGCGAGAGTTGCGATTGAGACTTTAAGCTAAAGGTTGGCCTTAACTTTTTGCAAGTAAAACCCAAATGCACTTTGGCCTTATTGCATACCCCAGACACAAGGCATTCACACGAATTACATCTTTAAAACGGAAACAGTCTTGGCTATTAGGTTTTTTCTCGTCGTGGTTGTTGTAGTCGTTGTCGTTGTAGTAAGAAAAAATTCAAATTTAAATATTTTACTGGTTATTATAAAGAAATAATTTAATTTTGTGTTGAAAAAGTTAATAATGTTAATTTATAATAATATAATTCCCGTCGTAGTTGTAGTCATCGTTGAGAAAATTAAATTTTAAATTACTTGAAAAATCTTTATTTATTATTATATAAAAATAATAAGACGAATTTCGGCAAATAATAACAATAATCCAATTAGAATTGTAAGACAAGAAGCACGCTTGAACAGTTATGGTATATGAAAGTAATTGCATGCGTGTGAAAGTTGGTTGGGAAATTGAATGTTTTGTTTACGAACACATGTTCAAGGATCGATCAACTAATAATGGGAATACAAAGTTTGAAATTGAATTTTATTATAATGGTTGTTAAACTATCATTAATATCAAAGCTGCAGTTAATGTCACAATTTAAAAATACATTATGCAATGAGTGTTTGAATCGTATTGGTCTACATGCAGGGTCCTATGTACTCTGCATTTACTGTCATTTATTATATAGGTAAAATTAATCATGTTCTTGTAGATTGTGAAAGAATAAAAGTATTAGTAATATTTATAATTTACACCCAACTCATAATATGATGTTGCTTCCGAATCTGTAAAAATGTGACGTGTACCGCTGCTAGGATCAAAGATTCTTAAATGTTTGTGCCGCTGTGCAAAGTGTATATGCTTCCAAGGTTATAATTATTCTGGAAAATGAGATTTGATATTGGTTCTGATGCATGTTTCCAGTATCTTACATAGAAATATGGTAAGGTGGTCTGATATTCGACATTACTAACTGTAAAAAAATAAAAAATTTGATTCTTCTCGTTCCAAGAGTGAGCGTTGATCGTTTTGAAAAATACATTAATATTAATATTGAAAATTGAAATTGTTTTAATAAAAAAAGTTTAGCTGTAAAACGTTATTGGTAAAATAAACCCATCATAAAATATTAATCAATCTCTATCTTCGTTGGCGCATATCGCAACTATTTCCGATAAGAATGAGCGTTTCTCAAATTTCCAAAACCATATTCACATGTAAAAAAAAAACTATATAACATAGACATATTTTCAAAATATGTATATATTAATATTAATATGTATTCAGAAGAATTTACTAAAAGGAAAATTCGGCTAATACTAATAAATCCTATGATGACTCGGGTAGTAGGATTGTATTGACCAGTCTCAATGACTGGTCCAAAAACTACCAATCAAAAGGACCGGTTAAAATATAATTTGAAAATTGCAATATAAACAATATAAAACAAAGAACCTTAAAATTTTATATAGTATAAATTAAATAAATTAATTAAAAATTTTGATATAAATATTACACAAACTTACCAATTTTAGATAAACAAAGGATTGATCCCAAAATTTAGGACCATGAACTGGGAAACGATGTTAGAAATTCAGTCGACGGGTATTGCCATTATATTGTTACAAAACTATGCTAGTTTCCAGTTGAATTCTCAAAAATACTGATGGCAGCAAACCAATCAACGCTTATTGGTCTATTCATAAATGGATTGATTCACACACAATGAAACACGCGCGTAATAGTAATTCCATGCACGAATAATTACTAAGAATCCAGCATACGGTTTCCATAAATTATAACAAAACGAAAGAATTATAAGTTTTAAATGTAAAAGTGAAAAAGTTTTAACAAAAAAATAAAAAATTCCAAGGTATGTGTTTTCTAAATTATAACTTCGTATGATCTAGAGAGTGAAACATGTGACCATTACTATATTTCGTATACAAGGATTTTCAAATCAAATATTGATATTAATTGATGTAGAATATTTTATTTGCTGAATTGGAAACAAATATCATATGCCTTTTATCAGGTGCTGCTGGGAATATTTTGATTGGCAGATGCTATTAAATTAATTATGCAAATCAATTTTCAATTTTATTTATTATTATTATTATTATTAATTATTATCATCATCCCAATTTATTTATCTGTTTACGATTCGTTTAAATAACTCATTTTGGACCTAATTATATCATCAACAAACAAATGAATACACAGATTTTTTTTATTCTTTCGTCTCAAAAAAGGTTTAAACATGGTCATGGACATCAACAATGATATTTTTAAAGACATTTCATTTGTTAATTAATAAAGAACTGCTCTTGACGACAGTAGAGATAAAACACAAACAAAAACATAATATTACCATTAGCATTACTATATACTATATCAGATATAGTATTACGCTAGATAGACACATCCTAAAACAAACTGTTACACCAATTAGATATTTAAACAAAATAAATTAGATTGTATTCGATTTTGAATCGAAACTTTATTAAATTAGAAGCTTGATATTAAACAATGTCTAAATTTTAGCTCTATATAGAATACAGGGTTATGTTTTTGTGTGATACACGAATTCATAAAACACGCTCGCACATCATATTTAAACATATTAGGAATAACCTTCTTAAAATCGGAATTCTCACTCTTTTGTTCCGTTTTTTTATTACAAATATTACAAACCACAAATATTTCCAATTAATAACATAAAAAATGCATGTTTATTACTGTTATTGCTTTTTATAAGGGATGATCGGTTTAATTTTTTTATTTGTTTATTGTTTATGTTTATGAATAATATTAACATGCAGCATAATTCAAAAAAAACAAAAAAAACCAGATAAAATTTAAAATTCGGCGGAGTTTTAAATAATTAATTTAAAAATAGAAAAAATTTTAAAATTAAATTTTTTTTTTTTTTTTTTGTTTTTACAATTTTCATTCACCAAATAATTTTAATAATTCATACTCATCATCACATTTTCATTTTATTTCATACTTTTCTTTAAAATTAAAAAATAAATGGGTAATGGAAACTCGACAGATGTTGGCGATAATTATAATCTTATCAGCACCATTCGGCGTAATAGTAAAAAGCCTTACACACAACAAGAATTTCTTTTTGTCGACGGCAGAAGATTTCATAACGAAAATGATGCAAGCTACGTTCTTCCAAATGATGATAAGGAAGTCGATAGATTACAAATGCAGCATTACCTAATGAAACATGTGTGGGGTAGTAATTTCTCTTCTCCTATCGAAACAAAATTAAAACAACATGGATCTAGGGTCCTAGATGTCGGGTAAATCTTTGACATATTATATCTGAAATATTCTACTTATGCCATGTATTTTCTGCTATATATATACATAATAATACATTGTATACCAAAACCAAATGCATCCAGTATCTTTATGCTATAATAAAAAGTATATTTATTTATTTATTTTTATATATTAGATGCGGGACAGGGATTGTTTCACTTGATATGGCACATACATTCCTTAATTGTGAATTCATTGGAATCGACATCTCGCCAATTTATCCATCCGAAATCAAACCTTCAAACGTTAAGTTCCAAAAAGTCAATGTTATTCAGGGTTTACCGTTCCCAGATAATCATTTTGATTTTGTTTATCAACGATTTCTCGTTATGTCACTTACGCCATCACAAATCGAAATTTTAATAAACGAACTTCTCCGAGTTTTAAAACCTGGTGGCTGGTTAGAAATCATGGTAATTATTTAAATCTTTTTTGAAAAGTTATTTTATGTGGAAATTGGTTATTTATTATTATTTAATTACCAGGAAGCAGGAATAGGAACATTAAATCAAGGTCCAGCACAGAAATTACTCATGGATGCCGGTAAGTTAAAAATGTCAACTCTTTTAAAAATCTACTTGAACCAATTTTTAAATTCTAAAAAAAAATTTGTTATTTCTTCATCGCTTTTTATCTTTCTTTTAGTCAAGAAACTTGTTAATTCCAATAATTTAGTCTTTGGGGTAGATATTTATCAAAAGAATTTTGAGAATCATCCAGGTTTAATAGATGTTAAATTAGAGAAACGCGAGTGTCTATTGGGAAAATCGGGCGGTAAACTTGGCGAAGTGGTTAGTAGTAATTAACAGTTAAAAATAAATCAACCAATTCTTAATCAATTAATTCCTTCTTCCAAATCTTTATATTATTATTATTATTATATTATTAAAATATAGTGTCGAGATGATTTTTCAACTGGATGTGAAGCTCTAAAGTCAAAACTAATGCCTATATTAAATTATTCTGATAAACAATATGATGAATTGATAAAGGAATTTATCAAAGAAGTTGATGATAAATGTGAATATTGGCCAACTTATAGAATATATGCTAGAAAAAAATAATTGTTAATTTTATATTTTTTAATAGATAATTTTGATTTTGTAATTATAATTAATAAGTCATCAATGAAGTCAAATAGAATTGGGATCCGGTTTATTTTTTATGATAATCATAACTGGTTTCGAGACCGGATCCAAATCGGATTTGATCTCAAAGATAAATAAATTGTACTTTTTTTTTTTAGTGAACAGTTGTATCTCGTTGGTACTACTTTGGATATTCATTGATGGGTATATGAAGCTTGAATGCCAAACACTTTATCCGGTGAGTATAGTAAAATCATAAGTAGCATTAGGTTGAGTACAGTAAGTAAAATTTATAGGCCCCACACACCTAACCCAAAAAATCATGCAAGTACAATTATCATTACCAAAAATGTTTTGTAATATACTCACTGCGCAAAGTATACTCAATCTAACACAACCAGTACATTGATCTCTCAATAATATTCACGAGTTTCATATTCGCTTTAGAAAAGACATCTTGCCAACTAAAATCACAATTTAAACGGTTCTTTTTTGGTTTATTATATTACCAGAACTAAAAAAAAGATCGCTCGCTTGGTTCTGATGTAGCTAGAATTGATAGATATTTAAATGCAAATTTGGAAAGGCATGAAAAACTTTGTAAATGATGGTACCTTACCTTTTCCACCAACCATTCAAGTGGATTTTCTGTATTTATTGCTAATGGCAAATCCAAGTAACTCGTTATTTCATCTGGTGATCTGATGAATAATCATCATTTATTATTACTTTTTTACTTTTCCCTTTCAAAAGGTGAACCTGTTTATACTCTTGATAAAAACGTATTGATATGTTGTTACTATTACTCGAATTGGTGGTGTTACGATAACATGCAATGTATGGTATGAACCCTATGTATGTAACGTATATATTAATATGAATTTTATTTACATATAACTTTGTTATACGTGAAAATAGATAAAAATATACAGGGCAAGTAAAAACTGTTGAATTGAAATACTTCCAAGATAACATGACCAAAATATCCACATACAAAAAAATAGTGCGACTTTTAGAAACATTAAAACCATAAAATTGTCTTTATTTAAAAAATTAATAAAAAAACAAACTTTACTATTGGGCATTATAATTTTATTAAAGATTGTATTAATAATAACATAATTCAAATAATAAAAAGTTGATTTCTTGTAGTGGGTGGGAAATTAGATTACAGACAGCAAATTATTCAAAACTTGACCATGTAATTTCTCCTTTCCGAGTTAAAATAATTTTCTTGTTTCTATTATTTGTATTACTATATTTATGCACACATGTATGGAAAAATCATACATAACATACATACATAGGGTTTATACGTTACATGTTTTCTGTATTATCTCTAATTGGAGAAGATAAAAATAATATTTATGCGTATGCTGCAAGACTACTACTAAAATAAACAAGTCTTGACTAAAGTCAACAATGGTATATAATAAAACTTTGTCACGTGAAAGTTAAATTGTCTTTGGTGGAGAAACTAACTAATTTAATTAATACTTCATTATTATTTGTTAAAAAAAAAAATTAAAAAAGTTCTATACAAGGAAATTTATTTAATTACCATTCACGCAGTAATAAATTGCTTTCTTTTAAAACCATGACAAAACAACCGATCAAACTTTCTGATATACCAGCTTATAAGGAATTTATTGAAAAGTATGAAACTTTTTTACTTGATTGTGATGGTAACGGTTTTTCTTTCTTTAACATGTATAAATACTTTTGATTCATTTCTATCTAAGTGGATATCCTTGTTCTCTTGTAAAAATTAGGAGTAATATGGCAAACAAATAAGGTATTCCCGGGAGTTGTAGAGACATTAAGTTATTTAAGAAAGAATGGTAACGTATTGTGTTGTAATGAGTGAATTTTTTTTTTTTTTAAAAAAAAATAATTAATTTATCAAGTACTTTCTTTTGAATTTAGGCAAACAAATATTATTTGTAACAAATAATGCTATGAAGTCTCGTGCGCAATATCTTGAGAAATTTAAAAAATTAAATATTGAAGCTTATGAAGTAATTTGTCAATATTTTTTTTTATTGGATAATAAGTGCATGTGTATTTTAGCTAAGAGATTATTTATAGGATGAAATTTTTGGGTCATCATATGTAGCTGCTTACTATATAAAGAATGTATTAAATTTTCCTAAAGATAAGAAAGTTTACGTTTTTGGTGAATCTGGGATGGTTGATGAATTGAATACTCAAGGAATTAGATATTGTGGTGGCGAAGTAATGAAGTGATAAATTAATTATTATTATTATTATTGAAAATTTTTATTTATTGCCTGATTTTCTTAATAGGATGACGTAAATGCTATATTAAAAGATATGGATATGTCAAATATAAAACCTGATCCCGAAGTAAGCTTCTTATTTATTTCCTTTTTTTATTTTCTATCTTTTTACTTTTTACCTTTTTATTTTTTTTTAAAAAAAAACTTCTAATTCAACATTAAAATTTTTACGATAGGTTGGAGCAGTATTATGTGGATTTGATTCAAAAATAAATTATGTAAAATTAGCAAAGGCATTTACAAATCTACACAACAATCCGAATTGTTATTTCATTTTGACAAATGATGATCCAACGTATCCAACAAATGGTGGAATATTTCCTGGTGCAGGGTCATTATCAGCTCCACTGATCAAAGCATTGGATAGACAACCTGATTATATTTGTGGCAAACCTAATAAACCAATGTTAGATTGTATTATGAAAAAATATGATTTAAACGTTGAGAAAACTTGTATGATTGGTGATCGATTGAATACCGATATACAATTTGGAATAAATGGCGGTTTTGCTACCCTGTTGGTATTAACTGGTAATTATTATTATAGTTGTATTTTTGGGTATTTTGTAGTATTGATGGTCAATTATTATGAATAGTTATTGACAATTTTTTAATTAGGAATATCCAAAGAAAGTGATATTTTATCCGAGGGTGCAAAAATTATTCCAGATTATTATATGGAAAGTTTTGGTGATTTCTCCAAAATAATTTAAAAAAATAATAATTATTTATTTATTTAAATTATCAATCAACCATATCAATTTTGAAAGATTAATAAAAAAAATAATTCTTGTGCGAATAAAGATGAGAATATAAATGAATATGGTGACGCCGTTTTCCTTCCACCTTGTATAAAAGTATTAATGACTGGTTCATCTTGCAATCAAATCACATCCTTTGGACTGCTGTGTTTCTGTAAAGTATAATATTTTATTCAACACAGTAATTTAATCATAAACACACACATGTAGCATGCACTAACTATTACTAATTTACAGTTTTAATGATGAACTTTGTTTTGCAATATCGAATGTTCAATGTAATGTAAATTCAAAATCCCTTTCAACATTTCCGCAAATTTTCGAAGCTCTCCGATATTTTTTTCTACATCTTGTTGTAAAATAGGAACTGTTGAAACCTCAACAATCCAATAATTTTTTGGATCAAAAGGTATTAACGAACTTACATCATTTGGTTTTTCCAACTGTTTTTTTTTTTTTTTTAGGAAAATATTAAAAATTGAAGATATCTTAAAAAAAATTTTTTGAAATAATTAGTAACTATTTAAATTACCTTGAAGATTTGTGTTATGATTATTTTTAAATTATCATGATAATTAAATACTATTCCTTTTCTTGCAAATTCAAATCCCATTCTAATCAATTCAGTTTTTTAAAACAATTATTTATTATTATAGTTGATATAATAAAATCATTATTTGATAATACAAAAGCTCTTACTTGTAACCAAGTAATCCCATAAATTTTAAAGAATCACCAGTATGTATTTTTGAATGAAATACAGCTCTAACAGTTGCTGGTTTATCGGTAGTAGATCGACCAAGATGAGATTCGGGATGTCCAAGTTGAAACAATTGCCTAATTATATCATTTATATGTATATGTATGATCCATTAAATTTTTCTTTAAAAAAAATTAACAATAATAATAGCAATAATAATAAACCATTGACGTTTAGTTAAATCATTTTCATCAATATGGGATTTAAGTCTTAATAAAACATCTTCATTACGAGATGGTCCTTCTGTTGTTTTGACTATTTTGTTATTTGTTTGTTTATATTAATTAATAAGATGATGATGATTTTATATAAATCTAAAAATTAATTAGTCATTTAATCAGATTGATTACCTGAAGGTATAAATCCAATCTCATGTTCAAATATAGTAAATGGATGTATTCCACAAATTCCAATAAGTCTATCTATAAGTTGAGGCTTTAAATTATTGGAAATTCTACCGTGAAGAGAGCATTCATATGACATCTTTTTATTATTATATATACGTAAAAATAAAAAATTACACAATGTAAATCATTGTCAAATCTGAAAAACGATTGGATGAAATGTTTTATATATTAAAATATTAATAAATATCCACCACACCACTTTCAATAAATTAAAAAAAGCATTATTGGCTAATTCATTTGATCCTTCTACAATTACCACAGCAGTTTATCCAAATACCGTTCAAGTTCATATAGACTATATAAAGTTACAATTATCATTGATTTATGGATCGAGTCAACAATACCAGATGAAATATAACGTGTAATTAATTTTGAAATCTTTTAATTTATAATATATCACAAATTGGTCCTCTATAAATAAATATAATGTTTATGTATGTATAATAATAAATATATATATGTATATGTATAAATAGATACAAAATAAGTATAAAATATATCACATAGTAATCGTTATTTAATTAAAATAATTGATGGGTCAATATCAATCATCACGTAATTCAATAAAAGGATAATGAAGTTCTGATTCTTTGGATACAGATTTATTCCAAGCCAAGGTTTCATACTCACAACCAAAATAATTAGAAATCTTTGCACTTATAAATGGTTTCAATCTTTTCAATTCTTCTCTACACTCAAAATGTCTTGAACAATCAACTTGATGTAACAAAGACCAGCTGTAAGAGGGTGATTGGAATGGAAATGTGCAAATGTCTTTAACACACTCTTCAAATTTGGTTCGTAGATGTTCAGTTGCCAACGGTGGAAATCTTCTATCAACTGTATCACAAAACAATTTATTTAATCCTTCAATATATTGTTGTCTTTGAACCTGGAGCTTTAGTTGAGTTCTCCTGGATAATCCTTGTAGATTATTGTTGAGCACAGGTCCATCATAAAAGAATTGTTCAAATTTATCTATGACCAGTTTTGACGATTCTTTATAAACTGAATCTATCATATATATTTCTGCTAATTTTAATGCCTTTAATGGTTCATCCTCATAAGATCTTTTCAAAAAAGACACACAGCCCGAATTCAATGTGTCAACAATATACTTATCTGCTAGGCGTAACAAATTTGCCACATCCGCCCATGATATTTCAAAAAATGTATTTGGGTAAAGAAATGATAATAATTTTTCAATATCATCTGATGCATCATCCCTTAAATCTATTCTTACTATTGTTGATAGGCTGTTACCAGAGCTCCCCCCACCAACAGTGATTAATTCATCTTTTGATGGTTGGGCTGTTGAAAACATTCCGCTGAAAAATGCTGACGACAGCACCAATATATTCTTGTGAACTCTGAATAAAATGTTTTCCACTTTTAATTCACAATCACCATCTTGGTAAAAGTGTTGTTCATTTTTCTTTAGGATCATTGTCATTATTATTTATTGTTTATCAATTAATTATTTCTATTCAAAAGAAACAAAATTTTTTATTTGCAGAATAATTAGTATATACGCATAGGCATATATGTATTATATCATATTGTGTCATACTTATATATCATGATAATTAATTACCTTGGATATTTTTTTCTTTAATTATCAGTTATGAAGAACATAATAATAAAAACGGTTGTTCAATCAATTTTCCTATTATAACAAACAGTGTTACGCCAACATTACAGAAATTATACAAATATGGGTATGAGCAATATGCACACTTTAATTTTTATGTAGTAATTCTCTTTGTAAAATCAAAAATTGTTTAATTCGTGATATGTGATAGAAGTGGAATTTTTATATCACACGTCAACTAATTCCTTTTAAAAAAATTTAATACTGAACCTATACCAAGTACAAGTCCTACATAGACAGCCTACAATAAGGTGTCTCGTTGGGTGTGAGTTTTCACGTCGCGAATGACTCTTATTGTTTTTCTGAAATATACTTCAAAAGGATATTACGAGCTCCGGTTATACCTCTACCAATGGTGGATTTACAAGATGTACAATCAAAAATTTTTGAATTTGAATTGATGACTCCACAACATCCGCATGCTTTGCTAGTGTATTATTCGGTGCAGATGACGACCTTAAACCAAGGGTACTCGCGGGATTTATGGAGCAAATATTGGCGAAAACGGTAATGTGACCAGGTCAACATTTTGTCTTGCAGTTTCAGAGTGGATTTTTCTCGAATCGCTTTTTTTAACCATATTTTATGTTTTAAACTCTGGGAGTAAAGCTACATGGCCAATATTCGATGACATTCATCCGCAAGATTATGAATTTTCTTATTAATCCGAAGTATGCACCGACGGAGCCTATACCTCCTATGCTTATTTGCTTTGCCATCAATAGAATCCCCTTCACCTTGGATTCTATCATAATGCAAGCACAAGCGATGCGTTATATTAATGTCTCCTTTTCCATAACCTCACCACTTGGGTTATAGCCAGTCATGAAGGTTCTCTCACTCCTGGATCAAGAGAAATGATGCCAGTGCCTCTATTCTCTTCGACCACCGAAAAATTAGGACCTTGGTTATCAGCCTTAATTTTAAGTAGTTTGTGGATACACAAGTAGAATTCATCAAGATGATTCATGGTGAAACGAAGGTCATATAATTTATTTCGGGTATTTTTTCGCTTGTTTTAATACCATTGAGAAATGAATAATGACCACTATTTATTCCCCGTTCTCTTGATATAATGGTAATTGATTGCAATTTATCTATTTTAGATCTGAATTTCAATTTAAAATTTTTCCTTTTTAAAGCAATATTTGTCTTATAATTTTTTAAAAGCTCCATCGTTGATGCATTCCTAATGTCATAAGGACCCACTTAAGACTAATGGCTTTAAATTTTTCAGACTTATTAGTAATTTTCACGTAAATATTTTTTTTATATCATGATTAACTGCAGCTAAGCATTGGTTGTAGTACCAATCCATTTTAATATTTTTTTTTTCCCCTCCGAGCTAGGGTTTTAAGAGTTTTTCCCGCTGGAGGTTTTTTGGAAGAGGAGGTTGAAGATGAAGGAATAACCTCTTCGACTTTAAAAGAAGAAAAAGATGATAAAGTTAAATTCACATTTATAGAAGAAATTGCATTTTAAAATTATTCCATGCTCCATCTGGTAAAAGGGGAAGACTATTTAAATCTCTAGGTCAACTAAGTCAATTGTAATCCGTGAACCAAGAGCTAGTCTTTTTAAGAGTCATTCCTTTGACTTGAGCACAAATATTAAATACTAAATGTTTTCCGAGTATTTCATTATTTATTATTATTATTATTATTAATATGGAGGTAATCTTTTTTTTCAATTTTGATAGTAGTGGAAGATATGAATGATATTTCATTTATTGCTTAGTAGCCAAATTAGCCAAATAATGATTAATCATTCATTGAACTAATACAGTATATTTGTTTTGGGAACAATGTTAACAATAATATCAAATTAAATAATCTACTTGGTCGTGATTTTTTACTTATTCACTCAATCAATCAATGAATGAAATGAAATAATAAATCAAGAGGTTTGACTTATGTCAAAGGTTTTACTTGCGTCAAGATTTTTACTTAATACTAAGTTAAACAACATTAAATGAGACAGTAATAATCAATGATGATTATTTATTTCTCCTCTCAAAAAGGTTGGCACTGCCAAAAATTCTTAATATTAATTATGAAATTATAAAACGTGTAATTCAAATTTATTTTCATAGAAATAATAAAAAAAAAAAAATTAATAGACGGTGAAAAATAATTAATTCAACTTTAACCTAATCAAATACTTATTATTATAATTATAATTATTATTATTATTATTATTATTATATTTCATAATTTAAGCTATCATTACTTAAATTCAATTTAGCAAATTCATCATTTAATATTCTACTTGTATGATATGCTAATGGATGTGATTTATGAATTTGTTGTGAATTACTATTATTACCACAACCACCAATATTACTACTACTTACATTAAGACCTTCAGTTTTAAATTTATCACAAGCAAAATCCCAAAGCTCCCCAATAGGGCTGGAAATAGTACTTTAAAAATCCAGATTTTCCTTTTAAAATTTTTAACTTCCGGAAAAAAAAAGAGTTGCCGGATATTTTTCCTTTTATTTTTTTTGTACAGGTTTTCCATATGCATAAAAAAAATTACCAAAATTTAATATATGGGATGTCCACCAGCAAAAAGGGGGTCTGAGACTATTAAATTGTTCTGTGTTATAATCAAAACAAAATTGGTTACACAAATAGTTTTGATATGTAAAGTAAATATTTCAAGTCTTGTATCTCATTATTGTACTAGGTAAACATGTTCTAAATTTTTCACCAACTATAATCCTTATGATATAGATATACATTATGCAAAAAACTCAATTTTGGCCAGGAGTTCTCAGACCCCCATATTGCTGGTGGACATCTCATATATATTATATATGCTATTACTTCAATATTTTAAAATAGAACAGCCAGAATCACAATTTTTATCTTTTGAATTTTCAGAAGAAAAGTATTGAATCAATTAATATCTATTTCAAAATATATATTTACATCTTTTATTTTCCCTTATTCAAAAAATAAATTATAAATAAATAATTAGTATAGAACAAGAAAAATTAGATAACTTGACTATATACTGAAATTTGGGATAAAACATTTACAGATGAAACAAATATTGTTGAATCAGATATAGAAGATTTAGATGATTTGATAATTCAAGGTTCAGATGATGATGATACTTCAAAAAATCAAATAAAAAAAGAAAAGACAGTGAATTAAGTGTAAACCATGTTAAAATGTCAAATAAAAAAGTGCATTTTAAAAAATCAGGAGGAAGTTTTCAGCATGAATGGTTAAACATATATAAATGGTTAAAATATGATGCAGCAACAAAGAGAATGTTTTGCACAATTTGTAAAGCACATGGAGAAAAAAATCAATTTGAGGAAAAGGTAACAAATAGATATAATTAATTAATTTACTAATGTTATAATGTTAATATTTAGGATCAAAGAATGTTTCAAAATCTACTGTTCTAGCAACTTGTGCACTTTCAAACCAACATAAAGATGTTTTGCTTCTAGAAAAGGCAAGAATAACCATGCATGATTCTTCCAAAAAGGCCATTAATAATGGTAACAAACATATAATTAATATTTACTGGATGCCAAAAAAAAAATAATATTCCAATTTCCAAACTTCCAAGTCTTATTTATACCTTAAAACTTATAGAAATAGTGCACTCAATTCAATTTTCTAGTGTAGATTGTGAAAAAGGTTTTAGCAAACAGAATATTATAAAATGTAATGTAATGGAAAATGACATATTGCACATATTAATAATGGTTGGTTTAAAAGGTACTGATTTATTTGGTTATGATTTTAGTGATGCTCTTAGTAAAATTTTTCAAAGTAAAAACAGAAGAATAAAGTAAAGAAATTTTAGCACCCAAAAAATTTTCCTTTTTTTTAAAATTTTCTTCTGGAAAATTTTTAGCATTCAGGAGGAACTTCCGTTTTTTTCAGACCCTATTTCCAGCCCTGCTCTCCAATAGTTGGCCATTTTGATGGATCCACATCTCAACACCTTCGCATCATTTGTGCACAATCATCAGGCATTCCTGGTAATTATTGGTGATTGTAAACCTTCACATATTTTTAATTGCAAATGAACATCATGTGCTCTATCATCAAATGGCGGATGTCCTGCAAATATTTCCCACATTAACATCCCAACGCTATAAACATCTAATTCTTTGGTGTATTTTTTTTTCTTTAAATAGTTCTGGTGCAAGATAAGGTACAATTTCATAAATTTTATTTGATGATTTTTCATCAACTGGTCCACATAATCCAAACTCTGTGATAAAACAAACATCTCCTTGCATTAATATATTACCACTATGTAAATCATAATGAATTATATAATGCATTACATAAACTTCTAAAGGTTATAATTCTATCCTTTGATGTTAAATTATAATGATTTTCTTGTATATAATAAATAATATTAATATTAAATCGTGTTACAATGGCCAATGAATTTTTGGTAGTAGATGTGGCGGTGGAGTTTTAATAATAATAATAATACTAATACTATTACTTTTATATATTATATGACAAGGTTACATCACCAAAGAATATAAAAAAAACCACATAAATAAAATTATTTTTGGTCAGTAGAATCCATCTTAATGTTAAATGATTGTTTGTTGAAATTATTATAACATTTAAAAGTACAGTATGCTTGCAATAGATATTCATGAAGACTTGGCTTTAAAATCATATTTATTTATAATGTGAATTTTGAAGAAAATGCAAAACTTTGCAAATGACATTTGGATTTTTTTGTGCAGTTATTATTATGTATGTCGTTGCATAATCAGATGACTAAAAATTTTGATACTAATACTAATA